AACTATCCTCCACACAAAATAACGAATTGAATTCCAAAAAAACACCTTATTCGAGCTTTTTAGGCTAAAACAGGAAGCTGTGGATGCTGAAATAACCTCCCATAAATGACTTGTCAGTGTGTGTTTGGGGAGGAAGAGAGTTTGTGCAATTCGTCACCACCGAGGTATTATCTTTTAGCAATATGAGAACTCCAAATTGATGCAGACATCGTTTGGAAGCAAAGCTCCACCATCTAGGGGTAGTTTCAATGACCTCGAATCCTCTTCGCCTATTCGTCTGCCTGATTTCGCTATGGAGGTCTCCCAAGGCGAAGATGAAGGGAGTAGAAGCACTCCCATATATGATTCACCAATGGGGACACAGGAACGACCTTTGGCCTCATCTGAGGGGTCAGCAACAAGGAGTGGCCAAAGCAGTGTACTTCGTAGGGATGGGGATAAGGCGAAACAATTGTCCGCTGCTAGAAAATCCTCTTTACCAATCGCCTCCATGGTTGGTTCTTTTCAATTGTCGATTATTTGGTCGGTATTTTGCTTATCTCGTTTTAATAATTCTCTTCGTAAACTGATCTCGATATCACATGTTTCTATGCGTTTCTTTTGCCGTTATTTCTTTAATTTATGGTTTGTTCTATTATGACATGTAACACCTTGACTCTCGTTGCAGTATCCAGCATTGTTTTGTTTACTTCTTTCCCTGTTAGCTACAAAAATGTCCTAACCAGTTCAGAGCCTCAATTCGCACTCGGCGTTTTGTCGTGGACGGCAAGGAGCACACCACCACCTCCAAGAGGGTCGTTCTTGCCGAGGCAACTGCACGACCCGTCGAGAAGAGGTATGGCTTTACGATCCACTGTCACAACTATGCATTTGTTAATGTCGGCCTTGATCCACCTTCATAGCTCAGATTCTTGTCTTTTTTGTGCGGACAAGCTTGTCTTGACAAAGAATGCCCTTGTCGCATTTAACTAGGTCTGCTCTTCAGTCTAAAAGTGTTGCCAGTGTTATTTCACTCAAACTCTTGTGATCACTTGCCACTCGATGCATGTGTCTTTGTTCTAGGGTGCTCAGCTTCAGTCCTTCACCGAATTGTGCATTCATATATAGTCAAACTTCTGTTGCAAATGTTTCATGTTTTTTTTTTCCTTCTTTTCCCCAGTGTGGCAAGAATGCGAGCTCTGCGAGATTTCCGTGAATTAGCAAAGGAGAGCAAACGCCGTAATCGCGAGATCGCTGAACGCGTGGAACAGCAGATGCGTCAGTTGGAGTCCAAACAAGCGGCTGAGTTCACTGTCAGTCTCTTCAGCCCCCTCCCCTCCTCCAAAAGCTATCACAATATTTCCCTTTAGCATAGTGACGTGAACAAGGTTAATGCCCTAAGCTATGCCATCCTTATCCTTGTTTACATAAGCAAACCTTGGCACCAATTTGCCCCTGCCTACTTCCCCAATAGCGTTATGCATGAATCTGTCATTAGTTAACTTTTGAAGTTCTTTCTCTGTAGCACCTTCATCGATCATTGACAAAGGAATTGGAGGCCGCTGCAAAGAAGTACAAGGCTAGCCGTGAGCGCCTAGATGCTGAATTTGAAAGCGACGTAAAGGCTCTTCGCGAGGCCTCTGTAATCTCATTTGTTAATACGAAGTCAAGTGGAATATGGAATACTTTCTTACCGGTGTGCTACTCCTCTTCCCCTATTTGAATGTAGATGCAATCGGAGAAGACATTCCTGGAGCAATTCAAGCAGAAATTGGAGCACAATGTGGCCTCGCGAACCCTGCGAAAAGCGGTGTTCCGTGATGTGCGTGACGCGTTTGGCAGTGGGATTACAGTGCTGCGAACGCCGTCGGACATCCCTCCAGCAGTGGAGCAGCATTATGCCGAGGCTGCCGACTTCTTCCGTCACCGGGAGGTCGAGTTGAATTCCCAAGTGACGCAGCTGACGGAAGTATATCATAAGAAATTGGGCCATCTCGACCTCCAGTTGTATTCGGAGCAGTACGAACTGAACATGGGTGTGTTTCCTTGACTTAATTTGCCTATTTCTTTGGTAGCTTCTTGTATCTTTGCATTCTTTGCACTAATCGTTGACCAGTTCTTAATCTACTCTTATCACAGTTTCATCTCGAAACATCGAGGTGACAGTCTACTCTAATATGCACTCAGTAGCTTTAATTGCTTTCCTCAAATTTTGGAACCCGATTCTCGCCTTTAGGTTTCACTAAAAAGCAGGGCATGATGGAGCAACGTCACATGCATATGCGCCATCAATTGGCACGTAGTCAGCTTAAGGACTTTGCATTGGCAGACAGGCAACTGCTGGCAAAACGTCTGGCCTCTCAGTTGGTCGAATTTCGAGAGGTAGGAGTTTTTTTTTCTACTAAATTCGGGAAGGGGTACACACCACCTGACTGTGCCTACTTTTTATCCTCAGGCGGCGGAAGCGGATAAGACGCAGCTTCAGGAATCTCAGATGCTGGAGAAGAAAATCTTCCTCAAAAATGAAAGGGTAGCTAGAAAGAAGAGGATGACTACGTATCAACGGAAGTTACGGGAAGACGGCCCTCCGGATGGAATGAGTGTTAAGGAGGCATTAGCAAAGGTACGTCTCTCTATAACTTTGTGCTGCCCCACTTCTCCACGACAATTAAATCCGGCTTCTTTGTAGGTGGAAGAGACTGAGAGAGTGCGTGCAAGCGATGCCCTCCTCAAGTTAAGTAAGCATCATCAAATGCAGACCCAGGCTCTGGACCGCGAGTTAATGAGTCGTTTCGTCGAACTGGATGAGCAGCAGTCGGAGAAGAAGACCCTGTTGGTTAATCAGGAGAGTCGCCGATTGAAAGAACTGGACGATGAACACAAACAGGAGATGAAGGCTCACGCCGAACGCCTCCAACGCAAACTCTTGGTAGGTCATTGCTATTCGCTAAATGCCCGATGCTTCCATCGCCGTAGTGAGACCCCACACCCTGTGTTTACCACCTTAGCAACTCCGTGAAAAGTACGAAGAGGAGGTGATCGAACGAGCCGACTTGACGTCACTAAACCGGCACCCCGATACACTACCACGGCCAGGCTCTGGAAGTCGGAACAACCACTCCCTGTTCGGTAAATCTCCCAGTGCCACTTCAAGTTCCGGATCCTTAGGAAGCCTAACCGCATTGAGCAAGACATCCATGAATTCATACCGATGTTGAAATAACCCCCTGACGTGCCACATCCCACTGACGACTGTGATTACCTCCGCACACGCACATATTCACCTCACCTACACATTTCCCCGATCGTACTCCTCAGTCATTTAATAACAGCGCACCCGTCGAAATACGACTTGATAACTTGTTTTAATTAAGGATACTAAACAACTTGATTCGCCCTATTTAGAATAATGGCAAAACAACAGATGATACTGAAGCAAAGTTCCTGAACTCAAACGAAGGGACAACAGCTACGGAACACTCCTTTATTGACAGAAGTCTGTACAAGCTTATCGTCCGCCTCTCTGCACCTGAGGTTGCTTTGTCTAGAAGTACCAAAATTACCGTAGGGAACCAAGTACCTACCAGACTGTTGACCATAGCAGTGGAGACTGGATCCAATTCAGTTGTCATCATGGTCAGAACCGAAACATCAGGCTGGTAGTTATCGCGACGCTCCCTTTCCTCCTCCTGAAGCTTAATGCTGATACCACGAATAGGACCAGCTTGAATACGCTTCATGAGATGTGTGAGGTAACCAGCAATGCGGTTTCTGAGACGCTTAGAGCCAACAATAGCAACATCAGCAGTAACACGCTTGTTGATATGAAAATCGCGAGTTAGTTTGCCATAGTAACTCTCAATGAGAATTCGGGCTGCCTTTTTCACAGTCTTTGTGCGAACACGACCCTAGAAGAGAAGGCGGTATAAATAAGCACGAGAAGTCTGCAGGGAGATGGAATGATGCTAGAAACAAGCATGTTGGTAATTAGCAAGCGGGCATGTGTAGTTCGACAGCAAGCACACGAAAGAGCAATGCCGCATACAAAAGCTGCAATAACTTCAAGTAGAAAACACTATTAAAGTGCAAAGCAACTGGGGTGATACGAACCACTGACCAAAACTTCAAAGCATCTTAGAAGTGGAAGAATAGCAATACGTACCATGATGGCCAAGCAATCAAGAAGTGTGGTTTGACTCGCGGGGGAGATTTAAACAAGCAAAATACTAAATTAAAAATACCTTTTAGATGCATTATTCTATTACCATTTTCAGAATAAACGAGTTGTTATCATATTAAATAGTAAAAAATTATTTTTCAAGTTTGTAGGCGTGCCACAAACTTTAACTGTTAATAGAGTTAAAATCATCTTTATATTTTTTAATAAAATTGCCAGTTCCTATTGAAAACAAATTTATGCTATTGCTGCTTTAGCTTGAGTCATTCTTGGGTTATAAGAAGCCATTGCTGTATCAGAGAAAATGCATTCCCATCCTCAACATGACCTGAGAATACCGGCATGTGCTGGAAGCCATCGTGCTGGGTGGAAGTCTAAATTCCGAAATCCCAAGCACCCACTCCTTCATACGAGCAATCCGGAAAGTTCTTGAGGATTGTACCGCAAATTTGACTGAGTGCTCTCTAAGCCCTACCCTCCGAGTCTCTACCAAAGCCCGTTATGGGGCTGAGAAGCACGGAAGTGCATATATTATTCTCACCTAAGCAGGACAAAAGGGTATTAGCCCTCCCTAAGGGTCATACTCACGATGCGATTTACCTTCTCTTGGTGGCTTTCTGATCGGTCTGACCTCGCTGGTGACTACCATGCGCCTGATATCTTCCTTTCTTTCGCACTTAGAACCCTTGGATCTTCTCCTTCTTAAGAGCGGGTAAAATAGGACTCGAAAATATATCTTCCAACATGTTATGCAACACGGCCACAGGTTCGAGAGACCCATTTGTGTATCTTCCTCGGTTAATTTTTAGCTTACCACAGGCTTTTTAGCTTTCACCAAATTCAAACATATTCTGATTCTCTCAAAGAAGTTAACATTCTCGATAGCGAGGTATGGGGTCCCTTAATCCATATTCACCCAAATTCTGGCACTTTTCTCCATAAGCAAATCTGCCTGTTGAGGATTTTTCACCCGTGCCACCTTCACCTGTTAAATATGTGTCTGCAACTGTCGTTTATCCATCCTTCGACTCTTTTAAGTGTCAAGTCTTGAAAGCTTCCTGCATAATTCGCGCCTTCCATACCCACCATCTTGGAATAAATTCAGTAGATCACAGACCAACTTCTGCACCTTCCTTTAGACGATTTAGCTGCGTCAATTTTGAAGAGCATTCCTTTAAAGCTGTTTCTCACTTCAAAACCCACCTTTACTGCCCCTAGTAAGCGATTTATGCGAGTGTGAGCACTATTTTTTCTCCTACATCTGGGCTTAGAACCATGGCTTGAACATGACGCGCTGTGGTCCGTTTCCCTCTGATTTCTTTTATCTTGTTGGATCACCTCCTATAAACCTTGAAGTGTTTCAAGTTTTTGAATTGTTCCTCCCCGTTACATTCTACTTGTAAAATTCAGTAGGTTATCTGTTTGGAAGAAATTTTGAACTGGTACTTCAAATGTAATGACAAATTAAAATTTTAGATATTAATTACTTTAAGAGGGAAATTTTTGAGGCAAAAGGACGATTAACTTTTCTTTTACATAAGTTACTATCAAGCCTTGTTCCCACCACCACCTCTATTTCATGCAGGACATTCTTGCCTTCACCTGATCTTGAAGCCTCCACTTGACCCACGTTCCACGACCCATTTGAGAGTGTGGGGTATGATCAAAAAATGGCGGCAAAATTAGGGGGAACAAAAGGGCTAGTTTTTTTGCTACAAGAATGCATACACAGCTGCATACAATGGAGTTAATTAGGTATGTGTAACTAGGGTTTGCCCCTTGAGAGCACAAGCGAAACCAAGTGGAGTGCTGCGTCGCCTACAAGCACATACAGCCCGATTCAACTCAGTAATTTCGTAGTTCTGAGTCATTCAAAGTAAGTAGATTTGAAGAATTTGCCTTCTTTTTTTCGTAAAAAATCTGTTAGGTACGTATTTGGTCGATGATTGCCTATCCCGCCTCTCGTTTGAAGGCAGAATCAGCGACAATTTGTGCCATATTTGTGAGGGATGAGGGGAGGGAGAGGATTAAAGTGATTCAGTGTCTCCTAATTAGAGAATTGATTGTAAAGGAGCACTATTAGATGCCACCCGAGAATGAGTGACTTCAAGGGCAGCACAATGTCAGACAGTGGGGTGGCGTCCTCGTGTTTGCCTAAATTTTTGCGCCTGAGAATGCACTCATTGCATGTGAGGTAGTATGAAGAGGTGAGTTGCCCGAATCTGACTGCTGGGACGCCACCTGATGGAAGGAGAGCGGGTGAGTTGATGAGGCACGATATCTCCGTGGGCTGGATATGAAGGTAGGCAATGGGGGATTGGGCCCACCGGCACATCGTGAGGTGGAAGGGAGAGGATGTATCAGTAGACAACCCTGCAATCAGGTGAGTGATAGAGGTCTAAGCAGGCGTCTGCCTCTTTCTCTGATCTAGACCTCTTTGAGCAAGCGTTTCCTCGAGGTAAACTAATCAATTCACTGTTGCCTGTGGTAATGGGGGTATTGTTTAATTACCTGCTAATAGCAAATTGCCTGTCTCTCTGCTTATGTGAAATGTTTCACTGTCACAGACCTCGTTCACTCAACTGAAACTACATTTTAATTTAACAAGCTCATAAAATGTGTGACACTGTTGGCACCGAGGACGCCATTCTAAGTCACCTTACCAGCAGACCCTTTCATACAAACAGCAATATTATTTCTGACGTCATAATAACTGAAATGAATAGTATGTCTTAAAGGTTTTATTAAATTTAGATGGTAGAGCATTTAAAAAATGCCCTAGACGTTCGCGTCAATTACCAAGGCGGCAACCCGAGAGCCCCGTAATTATGTCATGTGAATGGTTAACAATTGTGGCATCTGGTAAAAATAGCCTCACTGCTGGTTGTAAGTGAGATGAAATCCCTTCATTCCTCACGTCTTTTCCTTTTCTTCCCCTTTTTTTCCTGACGTTCCAAGTTGTCAGTTCTACTTCTCCCTCCGTTTTCCCATTCAAGGGGGAAGCAGTAATTGGCTGGCTCTACCACTTTTAACCGAGATACACCTTGAAGCGTCATCTTTACAATTTTGCACCTCTAATCAAATCAAAGTGGCCATTTTAAGTGAATATCTGAGGATAATTGAAAAAAACAACTCGGTGTTTACAGAAGGTAAGGGGAAAGCTGCCAGCGACACAGGCGAATGGCGTTCTTTCACCCACATGAAACGACCATTCCAATGTGGTGGATACAGAGCTTTCCATTTCTGCAGCTGGACGTAGCCATCATCGCATGGCATAGACTAAACTGTATTATGGATGAAGGAATGTCTATAATTCTTGTAGTGATTGGATGATGGTGACGGCAGTTTTCTTTATTACCTTCCATGCACAAGTGATGTCACTCCTTTCTTTAAGCATTTCGTCATGAGGTAATTTGGAGGGCAGTTTTTTTTTGTCAGTGTACGTAATTCATACACTAAAATATTTTATCTCCCATTGTTCTTTATGCGTCAACCTACGGAACATGTGATGCTGAAAAGAAGGAAAGAAAAGAAAAAAAAACCCACCCACACACATCTCTGTGTCCCACGCCATAACAGCTGAGTCGACAGAACAGGAATTGGGCATATCCGGGGTTCCCGCCTGTTAGCCATATTTGGGGGATGTAAAGAGCACCAACTTTGCTATAAAAGACTTTTATGAGCCTGCCTGTATGCACCGCGAGCTGTCTACTTCGGAGCGAAAGCGAGTGAGTGAGTGAGTGAGATAGAAAGAGAGAAGAGGCACTTTTTCTCGTGCCTTTTGCGCTCCGACTCTGCCCATCGCACCCAGGCCTATCAAAGTTTTAGGCAACTCGATTCCGGGGCGAGGAGGACAAGCAGAGCGACGCCTTTTAAGCCTTGGACGGGTAATTTTACATCTGTACTGATAGATCAAATAGTTAAAGGGCAGGTGAAGGCTATCCAAGGTCTGTACCATCAGCTATTGTTAGCCAGAACACACGGAGACTTACATCAGGCTGAGATTTCTCTCTGTCGAATTATCAGCGAAGTGCATTAGCTAGGAGAAGCTGACAATCACCCCGAGTAGACGATCGAGAGGCGTACAGAGTTGTAAGACCTACATCTTCTATGTTCCTCAAACATTTGATTCTGGTCAAATGCCACCATTGGGCGATGGCATCGCAGATTTCCATGTTATTTTTCTAATAAAGCAGTACTGACAATAGCCTCCGATTACATAGTCTGTGTACCGCTAAACAGAGGCAGTATTTACCTTTAAAGGACATTCACTCAAAGTCCAAACACTCCGAAAACACCCATTTTCGGCAGGTCATAATGAACTTAACGTAACCATGCATTCAAGCGTTGCCATCACCGTGTCCTGACTGGTATGGTCAGCCTTCCGCCAATCCCCACCGCACCTTTCACGCCTTTTTAATGCATATTTACGAGCAAATGACACAGTCGATTGTTTATTTTTCCACTGAGGGTCAGTTTGTGTGTGGAGGGTACTCCAAGTCGCCGAAATCAACGAATTTGCGACTTCTCTATCCATTGAGAGCAGGAGGAGACGGTGAAGAGAAGTGAAGTAGATGATGCCATATTTATCCAAGGCAGTTGGGACGACGGTGAAAACATACATAAGTGGATGGTGGATAGTTATTTACGTACCAGGCGCATTTGCGCTTCACGAGGTGACAGCTCATTTGCACATTACAATGAAATTATGAAGGGCAGGGAGGGTACACTTTGGCATACCCCCAAGGCTGTAGTACCTAATCTCGTGGGGACGATGTGGATCAACCCAATGCCTAGCAGAGTAGCCTGTTCTGTGGTCAGTGGTAGACCTACCTCCCCCCCCCTCCCCCAGTCACCTGACATGCGTGTCACAATTGTCTGCCAAGATGAACAGACTCAGGTCGGGATTCAAAATAACTGCTGGCTATGAATGAGAGATGCGTTTCCGCTTGATGGCTTTATGTTTTTGGAGATTAAAAACTACTCGAGTGTGCATGCACACCCACACACATTGGCATTGTGAAACCCCTTCAAGTGCTGTCACTGGTGTTTGTTTCAACTCCAAGTGTGGCAGGGGGAGGGGAGAACAGATTAAACTACCCCTGCCCTGACCTGCGCTCGACACGGCCCGCTCAGGGTGTGGGACAGACGGCCTCGCGTTGCGGTATCACGGTGCCCTTGGTGGAGGTAGTGTTGCAACCCCTTCTTGATGCCACAGAGAGGTAGTGACGCCTGACAGATTGCCTCAGCAATTAAGCAATAGTTGAGCTGTGCCTCAGGCAAGTTGCTTTTATTGCCATCTCCACCAATCTGGAGTTGGCAAATTCATGGAATACTTGAGAATTTCAATGAATTAAGCATAAGAAATGTGGATACGTAAATAGCATTGCTAAAGACTTCATAATTTTTGCGATACACAAGAATATTTCCATTTTCGTAGGTCTCCGCCCCCGTCTCCACCTCCTCTTCCTCCGAAAAGTGACTACGTGATCCGTACAATTAACAAACGCAAAGACGAGCCACAATTTGTTCGCTAGCGCACTGTCAGTTGGTAGCAGTAAATGGCGTTGACGCAAGCGCTTGGTTACGGGCACCGATCACAGCTTACAACGCCTAGCAATACAATCTCTGTTTTCTTTTTAAAACGTTTCATACGCGCACAGCATAATCCAGGCCTTATTACCTTTGACCGGGGATAGGAAGTTTTGCAGGGGTTAATAATTTTTTGGCACTTTTGAAAACTCCCGAAAAATCGATATGAGGGGGGTGGATTGAGCAGTCCCTCCTGTCACCTACATAACCCAACAAAATAGAGCCACATTCTGATTGGTCAAAAGTGGCGTGAACACCAAAATGACCCGGTAATGGGTGTTAATACCTTCTCAGGTGACGGATCGGGATTGCCAAACCTGTAGGCTGAACTCAACAACTCGGCAATGCAACCACATTCATTAGGTGATGGAGGTTGTTGATTCTACCCGTCCATGGTCAGGCACATAGCCGATAACTCTACCAAGGCAGTCGTCTTCTCATGCACTAGCGGTGAGAGAAGAGACCGCCCTGCCTAGCATTATCTTGTCACACTTTAGTCACCGCCAGTTAACTTCCACAGCGTGTGTGTGAATTCCTCAAGTTATACCCTTGAAATTTGCCACAGATCACACTAGCCACAACTCTCCAAGGTGGATATTTATTTATGTATGCGTACACCCATGATTTCGGCTAAAATATGTGCGAATAAAGACACTTTCCATCTCTTTCCGTGTGTGTCTAAACGTGTATGTGCATGTGGGTGGATGTGACAAAATGCACGCGCACGCACACACATAGAGCTGACTAAGCCACCCAGAATGAAGATGGCGCGGGCACGATGCACGCACGCTCGCACATGAGACAATTGGTCGATGATTTGGCAAGCAGTAGGAGTAACGCCAACATTCCACCTTGACGTCAGTAGTACGAGCCAATCAGAGGTGAGACAAAAAGGAATGAACCAATAGGCGATGCAGTCTACCACCCAAAAACAGCCTACAACGCTGTGTACGCGTGTGCATGAGTGTGTGGATGGATGGACTTGGCGACCGCTACGCGCTGTGCGTGTGCGACTGCAACTTTTGCTGTGTGGCGATGACGATGATTGAGGGAGGGAAGGCTTTAAATGCTCCTTGATGAAGTAGGTGGGTTAGGGCAAAAAAGGGGAAAGATGAGGAGTCAACGAAGTTTAGTCAAGTTAAGCAAATTTCGCGATACGAATACTTACCTGAGATGGAGTTCGAGGGCTTCAGCACCGATGCAAGGGAAAGCAGAATTGTCACGAGCTGGCATTCGACCGAGCCATCTTTGGCGCGTTGAAGCGACAAACGAGGGGGCGCGAGGAGTCTGAGTCCACCACGGAATGTCATGGGAAAAGCAGACGTTGCTCCCAAAAGCCTGATATCCTCGTTGTATTTATGGAAGGCCTCGCAAACTGCGTGTTTAATTCGCCTGATGGTGCTTTGATGGGTGAGTGGCCAGTCACTTGTGATTGCACAGTGGCGCATCGAGGCAAAACACAATTGACGAGTGACTTGCTGTCATCAGCCCGACTATAGGTGATGGAAGCAGAGACTGGTGCTAAATTCAATCTGTCAATCTGCACTTCCTGTTCTGTTAATATTCAGGCCGCTTTCTAATTTCTTGTAATGGTGGAGGATAGGACAGTAGGCAGGAGCTGCGACTTTGTCTCGAGTAATAATGTAACAGATTGGCGAGACCAACCACTCTCACAGGCTACCTCGACACCCCACACACATCGCCTTTAAAGGGCAACACCGAGGGATAGACCCCCTGTCCCAGGGAGGCCACGACAACTGACCTGACAGCACAAAAAAACGCAGGCGGACGTAAACAAGGGCACGCGTTAAACCACTACATAACTTGGGGTACGAAGGCCACAATTGACTGGTTCCGCTGTCATACGTCCAGCACGAGCGGAGAGAACCCGAGCCAGTGAGCAGCAGAGCCGACCGAGGCTACTTCGACACATGATTTAAGCAGGACCAATCAGAGCCCAAACCCCTCTCCGCAAAAGGACAACCCACCCGTGCTGCACAGCCCAACTCCCACCGATATTCTTGAAAACATACGGTACGAGAGTTAGAAGGTACCAGATTCACCGGTATTAGCTCCACGGGCCAAGCTAAACAATGAATCCACGAATTCACCACGCGCAAAAGACAGTTTGGTGTTTCACAAGAGAATCAACAACAACAGCTTACGCCATGACATGTACTTAACAAACTCAACTTTGACTAATGTAATGAATAACAAGTCGGTCTCGTAAGAAATTTTATTTAATTAACTGATCTGTCGAAAGCGAATTCAGAGTTATTAACTCCGACATTTCTTCATTTAATCGGCTTTCGGCGGTTCAGCAGCATCGGTATCACCTTAAATCTAAGAAAAGTTATTGTAAACACTCACCAGCGTCGCTATTCCACAGGGTTAGGTTATCGCGCAATAGCTGCATAATGAGAGTCGCGTCTTTGTAACTCTCCTCTGGCAAAGTGTCCAACTCGGCAACTGCGTCATCGAATGCCTTTCTAGCGAGCTCACAAGCTCGTTTCGGATTGTTCATGATTTCATAATAAAACACGGAGAAGTTGAGAGCAAGACCAAGACGAATAGGGTGAGTTGTTTGCATATCCCCTTCAGCAACCTCCGTAGCGGACTTATAAGCCATCAAACTATTGTCAGAGGCCTGCTTGCGCTCATCGCCAGTGCAAAACTCAGCAACATAGCGGTAGTAATCACCCTTCCTAAACACAACAAATAAGAAAATAGACAACAAACATCTTCAGGAAGAAAATTTTCGATTCAGAACTCGACGCAGCGGGAAGGAGCGTTTTGTCGAGAAGGTCGAGAATCTCTTTGCAAGTTGCGCTCAGTTCCCTCTCAATTTCCTCTCGAACTTTCTTAGCGATCTGCATTTTTGCGTCCCCATCATGCTTCTGCTCAATGCTACTAATAACGCGCCAGGAGCTTCTTCGAGCACCAACCACGTTCTTGTAAGCTACCGACAACAGGTTTCTCTCCTCGACAGAAAGGTCCGCTCCGGACTCCAGAACATCCTTCATCGCCTTGACCATTTCTAGATTTGCATAACACGGTTTGTAGAGAGAACATACCATCATAACGCTCACATTGTTCACATAGCTTCGCCATGTAAACATTTTCCTCGCGCTTACTGAGAGAAGACATAACGACCGCCCGAATCACTCAACGCAAAAAAGCGATTAAACCAAAAGATCGACGTACCACTAGTTTAAACAAACACGAAACCCATCCGCCATGAAAGGGTTGATATGTGTTTGCTTTTAACAAAATCCCTGCACTTGCTGTGAAAATAGGCAAAGAAAATTGCTTATTAAGATATGCCAGTTTCTCCTAATTTATACGCAGGTTTCATGTTTTACACGATACCTACATTTTCTTAGCATCCGATTAATTACCATTTGTTCATAAACTTTTGCTTATCTAACTTGCTTTAGACACAAATTTGTAATTTCAGGAATTAAATTTGGCTAGATATGAAATTCATCGACAGTTTTTTGCTTTTTCTAGATTTGCTTAATTAGACTGTTTAGCAGTTAACCTATAATTTCTTTAAAACGCTAGATATACAAAGGAAAGCTTCTTTCTTATGGAATCCGAGGTTTTACACACAGCGCCTCGAGACCCCCATGAAGATGAAGCAGGTCATAATACTCGAGCAGAACATGCGTATCCGATATCCTGAAGGGCCTGGAGGGCTGCTAGCATAGGCCGTGGTCAGACTGCCCAGCAAAGTTACAGTGGTGGAGCCCCTATCTGTCTCTTTTGCCAGAAATGCGGATTAAACAAATGACTGAAGCAATACATGTATTTTCTGCGAGGAGATACACTAACTATGGTGTCCATGACTTAGGAATTTTAGCCAAGCCCTTGGCATAAATTTTAATTCTGCAATATTTTCCATTAATGCCGCAGATACCAGTAGTGTTCTACCATAAAAACTTTTGTCTAGTAATCTGCCCTTACACGTATACACCTGTTTCGGCTCTCTATTCAGCAATGAACCATTGCACAATCTGTCCTGTAGACCTCGCGTACATAGAGTGAAGTGATGCAACATCTGTTATGTGAAGTTTATTGAATTTGGTGCAGGTGAGACAGGTTTAGCATAGATTTCTTAATGTCTTCTTTAGTTAAGGGCCACCTATGCCTTTTGCTCAAGGCACTCAACACTTTCACACCTCTTACATGTCCTAAATACCTTCCGATCTAAGCCTACTTTGACTCAATGACGAGGTGATATAATCTAGTTCTCCGGGAAAAATCCTACCGTATCTTCCACTTTCTCCGATGATAACATCTCACCTACCCTTGGTCTCAGCCGCTTGAAAGCATGACATGGGTCATCCATTCTCTTATACTTGCCATTAGGGAGGTTCTTGTTGTGGTCTGGATACTCTAGACCTAATCTTCCCTGTGTTTTAATGCCATTTAACAATTGTAGAAGAAGCATTATTAGTGCCCACTTCGAGCTAGTTTCACGTCACTTTCCTTAGTTTCTAAGGTACTGTCAGCTTTCTGGAAAGTGCTGGAATCTCCAGCGCTGAAGGCGAAACCCGGCGCCCACTCGAACTTCTTGCGGGGCATTCATCAATGTCTGCATTAGATGTTATTGCTGTTCTTTTGATAGGTCAAACTCTTTGCGATGCCTTGCATGAATTCTATGGTGCTGGAGATTTGTCGCAATTGGAAGACTCTGGTTATCACGATTGATTCCCTGTCTTGTCCAAATGGTGGTCCGTCATTTATCTAGATTGGCCTAATATAGCAGGGGAAGTGAAGAGACACCAATCATTCTAGAGTACCAGAAATCTAAATGATTGGTGTTCTGAAATCATTCAAGTCTAATGCCTCCTAACAAAACGCAAGATTGGGGGGTGATTGGCAAAGGTAAACAATGAATTTGATAGTCTCTCCTTTGTGAGGTTCCACAGAATCACCCACCCACTCTACATGTCCCAAATGCGCATGAGTTCCTATTCTATCCAACGGAATCATTTTATCCCTTTCATTAATTTTGCATCGTAGAAACCTCTCCGAAGTCGTGACAAGTCACAACTCGGTAGAAGCTGATTTTCTACCAGCGTACAGAAGACTTGGGGCCCTATGGACATGTTCAGATGGCCATAACTCTAAGCGGAAGTGAAATCTGCAGAAACCGAAGAGCCCGCTGAACTAGGCGTAAGATTAAAAAAAGTTCTTAAAGGCTTCACAACGATAATGCTTTGTTTGGGGGTATCATCTGGTGGCCTTTAAGCAGGCTACAGCCAGTAACGTCTTTAGATAATTTATCCAGAGACAATGCTGTCCGCAATGATACCTGATTATAACAGTGAGGAGACAAATTGTGAATCCAACGGCACCTTATCTGTGTGACGAGGTAAGATTGGAAAAGCCTTGACAGGTAAACAGCTAGGCACAACCAAATATGACTGGGTAAGGGTCCGAAACATAACCAAATACCGTGGCATGGCTAACTAATGTCAGCGACTGAGTAGGAACTAATCAGATACAGCTAGATTGTAGGTGTAGCTGTACCTTGGCATTAAATTATGTCTGATCATCCACTGGCCTCAAACAGCCTAACTGGTTGTCATGGTTTGGAATACCGCCAATTTGCATGTGTTCGTACTACAGCTATTCGCACAGACGATTCGGGTGCATGCGTGGAGCAAAAATGTCTCCATGTCAGTGAGAGGCTAGTCCCTCCTTCACGCTCCGCTAGTAAGACCTCGTCCTTTCGAAAGCACTGAAGGTCATACAACGAAGAATCATCATTCCTAGGACGTATTAGAATGACGGCCTAGTCCGACCACACGCTGACAACTTAGCAAAAAAAGTCTAAAAGTCTTAAGTCTTTTAAATAGTCGCCTCGTACACGTTCAAACAATGATACAAATGACAAGCAGAGACTCAAAAATGGGATTCACAAAAATCTCCGATGGTTAAGAAGAGCCTTTCCTCTCTACAAAAAATTCTGATAATTACAAGGGATTAGTTTACCTCGAAAAGAAATTCAGTGTAGGCGGGGTCATTGACCTCATTCGATCTCCGGAATTCTGCCCTAACTCGATTCAGGAGATACCTCTGATCGGTATGCTCAAGAGTTCGAATGTACTTTACCAGAAAGCGGAAAAGTTCCAAAGATTCCACACGAGAAGGCATACCTAAACAAACTACGTAATGATGCCTTACTCAACAAAAAATGCTACAAGTCGCACACTTTACTAATATACTTTATTCATCAGAATCGAGATAGAACAGAGGATCGTAATATCGATACACAAAAAGTTGTTCGTTCCAACATCGCCGTTGAAGTATACACACCGACCTTGAGAGGCGACCGTTAGATGCATCGCAAATTAGTTTTGATACCAATTCAGGTTCGTTTTGTAGAAGAAGGAGGATGTAAAGTACACCAGATCTGGCTAGAATCGGCGTGACCTGTTGAATGAACCTCTCCGTAACCTAAACAAAATATCAAAAGCGACGTTTTCCAACATCTTCAGCAACAAATTATTGAGGGAAAAGGAGGCATAAAGACAACTAACAATCCCATTTAATGAACAAAGAGGTCCGTACCTGCCTGCCTCTAAATCCGCCCGCCCATGCAGCTGATATAGTTGACTTTGAACCCAATAACTCATCACCTTCCGTAGGCACGTATGGAGGATTAAAAAGTACTATATCAGCAAACCCTTGAGATGATGTTCGAATGGAGGAAAGTAGATCACAACATATAGCGTCGAGAGGATAACACGACGTGCTTCCACGAAACACTTGCTTCGTCGCTACACAAGCCTGAAAAATATAGCATGAGAACCTTCTAACCTGATTTGATATATCAATGCATATGAACGAACATGGGCAATCAACTATGCTTGAGAGGAAAGTTGATATTATACCAGAACCAGAGCCAACTTCAATCGACAAAACTGGCCTTAATCGCCTCTTGATAAAATCTTTATCCGCCTCTAAAGCGTCAAGGAAGAGGAATGAGTCCTCGGAAGGAGGATATACCTCAGCAAAACAGGGATGTCTAAGAACATCCGTATCAGGAGTGGGAAATGCGCGGTCTAAAGGCAGCATTACCACTCCACCTATGACCTGCAGGTATGATGTTGTAATTTGGACTGCATATTAGGCACGCATTTTTTTGAAAGGCAAATGTTTAGCTTAATAAAAGACATCTAGGCACAGGAACTGAAGTGTCACTGGTAGTTTTAATAATCAAATCTGTGTTCGCAATTTGAAAATGGGTGTGTTAAGTGGTCCAATCAGGCGTGTAGCATGCGCAATCTCTGGTGGCGTTGACAGTGCTGTTTCCGCATACCTATTAAAGCACAAAGGTACACATTTGTTTGTTTTCCCTAAATGCTACCAAGGTTTCGATGTTGTTGGTATGTTCATGACGAATTGGGATCAGCAAGATGAAGCGATCAAATGTTCTACCGATGTGGATCGTGAAGACGCCCGGTTTGTCTGTCGGAAACTTGGGATCGAATTCGTGGAACTTAATTTTGTGAAAGAATACTGGAACGATGTGTTTGTGTAAGCTGGTCTGTGTTTGAAACGGGAACCTAGTAAAACCATTGATTCCTATGCTGAGGGAAAAACACCGAATCCAGATATACTTTGCAATCGTTATGTTAAATTTCAGAAGTTAACGGAGTGCGCACTTAGGTGGTCTCCAAAATGCCATCCTGCCGTACATGCGGATGCTGTGGCAACAGGCCACTACGCACAAAATTCATATGGTAATTTCCTTGAAGATCGAGCCATCCTCTCGTCACCACCCAAACTTTTGAGATCGGTCGACCCTGTCAAAGATCAAACATTTTGGCTTTGTAATGTGAGTTTTTTTGGCGAGACTATCGCAGCAATAATATGGTTCCCCAATTCCTGATCTTTCAATCCTGAAAAGTACGAATTGAATTTGAAAAGTTCTTGGTAGTTGCCTTCTTCCTCTAATTTAGATATCATGGAGACATTTACAACATTGCATGTTTCCTGTGGGCAATCTTATGAAGTCAAGAGTGAAGGAGATTGCCGCATCTGTTGGTCTTGAGCGAATCGCGAAAAGAAAGGAGGTATCCAGTAGTTGTTATATTAGACCTATTAATTCACTACTATTTGCTAAGACAACTTCATTTTCCGTAAATGTGATGCTTATGTCTGTAGTTGGATGCTAGGTTCTTTAAAATCTCAGGCACTATGCTTCTCTTTGCAGAGTATGGGAATATGTTTTATTGGAAAGCGAAACTTCTGTGATTTCATCGATAAGGTAGGTCACATTTTTTACCAAATTTTTGTAGTATATAGAACCACGAAGAGGCTTGATTATAGGACTGGAGACTGGCCTTGTTTTTGGTGAACACTCAGGTGGGTGTCTTAGCCTTTATTATAAACTTTTGTTCGTGAAGGTGTACATCACTTTACGATAGGACAGAAAGTACCCGGTATAACGTGGGGTAAGGAGCCCTTTTACATTGCCAAACTGGACTCAAAGGCTCAGGAGGTTTTCATTGTAAGTTGCATAAGAAATTATTGATAAGGTCGATCCAGGTGCAAGGCACTTACCATCCATCGCTTTTTATGCGAGAATGTTGGACTGAACCGGCTGTTTGGATAGCGGAAGAAAGTCCCCCTCTTCCATCTACTGATTATGAGTTTCAATGGCAGAACAAATGGCGTCCAGTGCCGTGCTTTATGCAGAACACTCAAAATGACAAATCGGGATTATACATTCAGCTTCAGAAACCAATGAGATGCATCGCTGCTGGTCAATATGCAGCTTTCTACAAGGGTAACGTTTGTCTGGGTGGGGCCATGATAAATTCAGCCAAGAGTTTATTTGAGATAGGAAACATTGAACCATACTATAATTGGCGTCTATCGGATTTCGAGGTTCATCTTTAGCTGCTATTTTTGTAATGCTTGGCAGGGAAAATCAGTGCATTATTGTTCATTCATTTTTGTCGTAACGTCTATTCACATATAAGATTTTGAAGTCATATTTGTGTTTGTTGTGGGATTCGGACGGATGTGGATGGTGCGTATACAGGTCGGTAAATTCTACTTCCCAAATTATAACCTTTTATTGGATAGAAGAATTGGTTGGCGGGCGGGAAGTTTGCAATTGTTGGCACCGAGAATTTGCTGACGGAAAAGTCCTGTTCAAGACCCGGTATTCTACCAGGACGATTAAGATAGCAGAAGATAAACAGGCCAAATGTGAAGACTGGAGCGCCAGCTATTGCAACGAGAATACCAGCAACCCAGACGTCCTCGCGTTCGCGCGCGATGCCTAAAGTAATCATGAAAATGCTTGTAAGAATAAGCAAGGCCCCAGTTATGGCCAATAGATTGTGTATTTTTGTGCGTTCATAGAAGTCGATGTAACACATGCTGTCTGTAAGTGCCGCTTGTTTACATCATTGATGGGAACAAACGTCAAGGACGCTTTGTGCTGGCCATTTGCAAAATGCCTTGCGCAATCACGATACTGCCTTGTTCCACTTTAGCGAGTTAAGTTTTTGATATAGAACATTAGTCACGGCAAGAATTCACGGGCGGTTTGTCCCAATCGGGAAACTTCTTGATGATGTCGGTATATTTGCCGAGCAATAATCCAGTTCAAACGAGCCAGCATTTGGACCCTAAAGTTCCATTATTCGGATGTTTTTCATGTAAAAAAATTGCTTAGTTAAAGCGGTTGATTATTTAGCAATGAGTGTTTGCCCTGAGAACGGTTTTTGATTGCACCCAAATGATCAATTGTCGTGACAAAGGCCAGTAGCTTGCTGTGTCAAGTTTTCTGGTCTAAGATACCCTTTTTTTAATTTCTTCAATCCTAGTAGGAATTTTGCCTTTGTTAGCCTATAATTCCAAAAACAGATGGTTAATTAGTTTTCAGCCTTTTTGGGAAGTTTTTTACTTTGGGGGAATTTTTACCCGTAAATAGTTGCTTTCAGCAACGGGGTGCGTCGTTTTACTTCTTCCACCCATGGGCGCCTCCTTTTAAAATCGCGGTCTTTGCTCACGTTACGGATGTCGGTTCTCCTGAGGAGGTGTTATTGTCTACATTATGTACGCCAATTGGTAAATTTCTTGATTTCACGTCCATACTGCTAAGGGCTATGCACAATACTCTACAAGAGGCGGCGGTTTCCTCCAAAATTTAATGAGAAAAATTAAGGAGGAGTCAGATCGGGACAAGCAGTTAAAGGTTTTTTATTTGATTAAGTTAAATGTTTTAGGAAAGCGTTCGCAAGTTTCGTGAGGAGACTGAAAAGCTTGAGAAGTCAAAGGAGGTTCAATCGATGCGGGAATTCTATGTAAGTTTATGCGCTCCCTTGTATTTTGATTAAGTAGAAAAAAATTGAGAGTGAGATTCCTTTGGATGCGGTGGAGAAGGTTCGAGACCATCTTGAATCAGCTGCTAAGAGAATCCGAACTGAAGGGGAGAACTGGAAGAAGCAAGAGTATGTTCGTAAGGGCTTAGAAGGCATCTCGAAAGCTAGCGAACAGCTTGTGGATGTGTCTCGATCTATTGGAAAGACCGAGTTTGTTAAATCGGCAAGGGAGGTATCACGCGTTTAGATTAATTGTGGCTGAATAGACTCTGGAAGCATTGGAAAAGGAATTACAGTCTGACCGTGCCCTGGTTTACCGTGCTCCAGATAGACCCAGAACTAGAGCCGAGATAACGGGTGGTTCAACTGAGCGAATCGTCGATGCTGATACGTAATTGCCAGCTCGTACTTATCATCATTCGAGTGATTTTCCTGTTGGACTGATTGTTTATGTTTTCTAATTGAAAAATATTAGCAAATCATCTGGTGTAGTCCTTCACAAGGACTCAAAGTGGGTTGCTGCATGGGAGAATTTTAAAGACACTAATCAATATGTTCAAAGTGAGTTCATGTACTCTTTATTAGATTTGTCCTTCATATGACCCCAGTTATTCTAACTGAGAGCTAGTTAAATGTTACTCACCCACAATTACTGTTGAGCAACGCTTGCTAGTGTGTGTTTATGCGAGTCTTTAACTTATGTACATATGTCTTTCAATTGACTCGAGATTAGGTGGATAGTGGTGATTGGTTTGCTTTTTTAGAATTCTTCGACTTGAAGGCAAGGTATGAGGAAAGTGACCACTTTCTTGCACGCTCACTACGCTTTGTTACGGACAAAATCACTGAGCTAGTTGGTAAGTCAATGTCTATTTCAAAGCGTGGACATGATCACTCATTTTACTTGATTTTACTGTTATTTTTACGACTGTTCACTTTCCCATTCTTACATACTGTGAAAAAGTGACATCTAAGTTCTTTCTTGTAGCCATATAAGTCTACCTTACTCGATGGTTTTTGTTGAAGCATCAACCGTCTTACCTAAGCCGTACTGTAAACGCCTGTAATCCAACCAATTTTAGTACCACATTGGGGCGATTTTCCTTTAGTTATTCTACCAACATCTTGTCAATTTATCGACATTTATTTGTCAGTTTATTGACGCAATGATCTTTATCGTGCTCCCTGCCCCTCTTGTCTTGTTTTGAAATTTCACTTTATATAACATCGGTTGAACTTGGGAGGATATGGTTTGAGATTATTTGGTTTATGAACAAGGCTTAGCTCGGTTTTAAGCCTGATGGGGAGATTGACTTCTTGTTAAAGTTTTGTATGGCTTGCGGAGAAGGTGCGGCACGGGATGACTGAATTTTATTACAGAACTGACAAAATCCCATCAAATAATGTTTGTATTGAATGATGAGATCCTAAAGACCATCGGCCCATTCTTTGGCCCTCTTATGGGGTTTACAACATCGCGGCATTAAAAAAGGATGGTTTTGTGACTAATTTGTGCTGACAGTCAACTTTTGTACGCCATTATTCGTTAAGTGGACAAACATATCATCGGTTATCTCCTATGACCAGCCAAGCTTATCCGTGAGGTATGAGGAGGGCATATACTGCCCCTTCCTCATGTTCCTCCGCCTACTTCTGGTCTTTACCAGCATGATTGCTGCCTTTTTTGGACTTTACACAAACATGGAAAACAGAGGGGGAAGACGGTTGGGGGAAGGTTGGATAGTACCGAGTGGGTTTGGAGCTGTGTTGTTTGCTTCTAGAAGTCAAATACTGGTATACAAGCGGATCCCATGGCAAATTCGTGAAGGGACTAATTTAATGGACAAAATCTTGTAAAGATTTGGGGATTTTTTTTCATTAGCTATATAGCAAAAATGTGAAGATTGCGGTGACTTTTTATGCCGACACTTGCAATTTACAGGCAGTAGGGGTTCGGAGAACGACTTGCAAAAAGCTCTCGAGGAGATCACCAAAATTGATCCAAATTTTACCACGGAAAAGTTTATTCGCTACTGCCGTGTCGAAGTCATTCCCAATGTTCTGGAGGTAGGCCTTGTATCTTTTTTTATTCAGTGCTTCTTAAATACCAACGTTTTCGTGTGGTAAACACGGACCCACACTGGTTGTACCTTTCCCACTTAAGTACTGCCCTCTACACCTTGGAATATCATCAGCGTCGTCAGCGTTTTGGCATGACTTTTCATCGTGTTTTTAGTCTATCATTCATGGTCACTTGGATGTGCTTAAGGACTGGTGCTACGAAGCCGTAAGTTTAAACCCCTTCATCTCTACTAGTGGTAGTAGTAATTGCCTTTTCGACAAATAGCGCCAAATCTGTGAAAGAAAGTGGTGTTTGAGATCACCCCTATGCTTGATAATTGGAATAATTGGCGTAATTTATTGTGTTCGCCTGTTTTCTTTTTTGTTGTGGAAGAGTAATTTGGCCCTGCCTCAGCTGTTGGTTCTTGTACGCACTAAACTTGACCAATCTGGGCGGGGTTGTGACTGCCACTTTGACGTAATGAAGCTTTTACTAATCACTTCTAGTCCTTCAATGTCCTCTCCGCCCCAATAAAGCAAACACGGGAGCTTGGCTTCCACATGGATTCGCGTATCCTCGACGTCCACAATATTGATGTATGTCGATTTTCTTCACCGTGTGTACACTTTACTTCAATACGTAATCACGACGTTGCTGTAAAATCTCTTGCCTCGTTTCCCCTGTCTCTACCACCTCTATAGCTGTGTCCAGTATCCGATCTCATTCCCCTCCTCGCCACTTTTTAGGTTTGCATGGGCAAGATGATGGAGCAGGGCCCGGTGCTGATCATCACATTCCAAGCACAGCAGATCCAGTGCATTCGTGACACCCAAGGCGCTGTGAAGGAGGGTGACCCGGAGAAAGTGCTGCGAGTGACTCACGTGTGGGCTCTGTGTCGCGACCAGTCGGAGTTGAACCCTTGGATGGCTTGGCGTGTTCTCGATGTCGCAATGATGCCCACAGAACAGTGGGTGTAGATACAGAGATCACGTAGATCGATTCGTCCCATCCCCCTCCTATACAGTCCCTCCTGGGGGTAGCCGACAATGGCTCACATCTTTTAACTCTTTTCTACTTCAATGGTGGATAGAAGACAAATCGCACCACATGTCTTCTTTGCCATCGCTGGCGGTGTGATTTCATGCTTATCATCAAGGACTAGTCCTCTTAATGATCGCTTTGGCAGGCCTGATGCACTCTGTGTGCATTATCGAATTCAGGGAGGAGGAAGGCACGCTCATTCCTATCGTCTGTTGTGCTTATTTCCTGTCTTATCACCTCGTAGACTGAGTTGCGCTTCTCGCAAGCCTTGCGGATACTGCTGATCCTCCTCAGATGGTAGTAGAGACGGTTCTCCGGAGTCAAATGACGCAGCCGAGAACACAGCACTCATCGAGATCGGACGGTGTGCCGGGACAGGAGAAAGAGAACCAATTGTGTAAAAAAACGCTGACAAAGAAGGTAGCACTGTTTTGTTTGATCCAAATAAGTAGCTAATATCAAATAAGACCGTTCCGGTATTTTACTCAACTGTGGATAAAAGACATTTAGAAGTTGTGGAGGTCGAGGGTTGGGAGGGTGGAGAGCGCCAATTTGCATGAATTTCCATTAGGTGTTGGAAGGTGTTCACAGGGAGGTTGAGTTCGGGTACAAGGGGTCGCATGTCATCCACAACTAGCTGATCAAGCTGTGTCACCAAATCACTGGCGACTGCTTCGCCTAAATGCAGTTTGTTAAACGAATTTGCGAGTTGGGCAGGAGTGGGTTCAGTCGAGTTTGTAGAGGCTGGGTTTTTGAAGAGGCAGGAAAGACCAGCGAGAGTCATGTACGAATGCAACAGATCTGTGGTTGAAAGAAACAAGGGCGAGCATTGAGGGTTTTTCGTGACCAAAGGAGGCAGGCAAGATGTAGTAAGGTTATAGAAAGCGCTAAAGCTGCTTACCGACATTGTCTGCATCAGGCGCCTTCGTGAAACCGCCAACAATAGGATCGTAGGTGGAACAAATGAACTTGAGGAGTGAGGTCTTGTCCACGTACTGATGCGCATCTAACATCTGAAATGGTACGGAAGAAGTAAGGAATAAGTACGCCGGCAACCTCGGAACAAAGAAGTGCCAGAAAGCCAAGGGAAGAGTTAAAATGCTAACAACGCAAGCCACGTGGAGACCAGTGGAGCGAAGTTGTCCAATCGAATCTGGAGGGCCCCACTCAACATGGTGCTACAAATTCTGCGATAAATGTGGCGATCCCGTGCTTCAACCTTTTCACAAGCCATAAAACAACCATGGCGAGAAATCAGCCTCTCCATCAACTCGATTCACGGGGTGAAAGTTCAAAAACAGGAGGAGAGAGTCATAGAGCACAATAAGGGATATTGCTTTCTACAATACATGCAAATAAAAAGTTGCTAGAACTTTACAAGCGACTAAAAGTTGTCAATCCATACAGTGACCTCCATCAAAAGTCACAAAATTCATTAGAAAGTACTTACTAATAATTAAAATATGAAAAAATAAATTCATTTTTCCACTTACTCGAAGTGAAGCTCCCACCCAGAAGGTATAACATGTGTCGGCCTCCTTCTGACATCGCCCATTAAAACCGCCGTTTTGTCTACACAACAGCCACTTTATGAGCTTATCGCGTTGAAACGATCCACGGGGTAGAACTTTGTCTAACCGATCCATCAACTTCAAACTAGCTAAAGCGCAGTACGTTAGGCCAGCGTGAGCTTCCATCTTTGGGAGACTACCGAAAGCTCCCTCATATGTCTAAAAGCGCACATGATAATTCGCTGGCAGATTTCCATTGTGTAAGGCATCAACATAAATAATAGTAGCCTACAATCGAATCAACTAAGAATTTTTCAAATGCATCCAAATTGAGCTGCTCTAGCATATCCAGAATGTATGCAGAAGCAACGGCGCTGAAGATGAAGCGAGCGTCGAATTCGGGACAGAAAAGACTTCCGTTAACTAAATTCCCATTGACGGATTGGAGTGCTTTAATCCCATCAATAACCGCCTGTCTGTTTACGCGCTCAAGATCATCGCCGAGAACTAGTAAAGAAACTAGCGCAGAGTAGTTCATTGTTATGTGGCATGAGTCGTATGGTAGAGGGGAGTAATGTGAAGCATTGTTTGCGTCGAAATTTAATGATACGCCGATAAAGCTTGAGCCTCTAAATCCACACCTCTCTGTATTAAATTCTATAACAGAAATGAAGACGATTACTTTTTCACGAAGATACTTAACCAATGCAAACACGACTCACCTTTGGAGGGCGGTATTTGATGAGCATAAATAAAATTAATAAAATGTTGGGCATCAGATAAAGGGGACTCATTTAGGATAGCTAAGCCACTGACACTAAAATGAAGGAGGGTTAATCTAGAAAGACTAGAAAAATTCAGCAAGTCTTTTACCTGTGGACGTCCATAGACTGGACGTGTGAAGGCAAAACACCATTAGTTGCCGTGAAATACTTTAGCAAACTACGCTTTAACGGATTCGAATTCTTTGATGTCTAAACATGGAAAACGCATCTCTCCAATCCCATACTGGTCTTTCAAGTGATTATTATAAAAGCAAGGTACGATATGATCAAATTTCATGGTACAGCAATGCTTTTCATTGATGAGTTCAATTGCCATGTTGCGCATTCATAAAAATATGTGAGTTTCAAACAAAAGTGCACAAAATTTTGAGAACAAACCAACGACATCGAAGGCTTTTTAATTTAGCGGGGCTCAACCAACCAATCGTATACTAACTCGCCTCAAAATTTGCGAATGCATTTGTTCATTAAAACTTATCAGAAAAGTTGCCGTATTTAAAGTAAAATGCCGTATTTCGTTGTAGCAATTTTATTTTCCGATTTTTCGGTTTGACACAGGGGTAACGAATCCTTATACAAGTACTTAAAGGTCAGATGGTTTTGGCAATTTCACTTAGAATAAAGCCCATAAATACAGATACGGTCGAAAAACGGAGCAAACATAAGAATCAATATATTTTAGTTTTTCAGCGCAACAGATTTTTAGTAGAAAATTAGTGAATGTGGTTACCCATGTGCGTTGTAGTTCAGAACGCATCAAAATATAGTATCAAGGTTCTAGAGCAATGTGTTACTAAGAATCGAGTTTGAATTTGTGAGTACTATTTACTCTTCTAATTTGGTGGGCAAAAAGGCCATTTTTACTTATACCATCTTTTTAAGGCTTTTTCCTTATTATCTTTGGCGCGCTTCACGACTTCGCAGAACGCGTTTTATTGATGGTCTTGATCACTACTGGCAGGGTCCGGAGGTTTGGGCACTTGCTGGAGGCACAATGGCGGGACTCAATGTAGCCCGTTACCGAAACCGAGAGTTGAACAAGGAATTGAAGCTTTACGATTGATTCCACAGCTTAGATTCATTGACGGGTAAAGCGATCTTTCTTCAAATGAACGTTTCTGCGTTGGCCTTCCAACGGTCGGTAGGCGCCTTTATCATATCAGCTGAGACCACTATGCCGTTCTAAACTTTGCAGTGGCACGAACATTGGCTTAAATGCACCCTATCACCCTTCTAAGGTCACTGCTAAATCATATCATCTAGATACCATCCCTCCCCCCTCTTTGGGGTCACCGTAAGTCAAACCACATGCATTCATTAGATTGTCATGTTGCCTTGCACAACTAACGCCTTCCACTTTACTGGTTCCTTTACCTTTCTACTGAAGAAGTCTATTTTAAGATACAATCGGTTTCAGACATGGCGCATGAGTAGCGCTGACACTAATACCTTGACAGTTTACGGGCTAAATCCACAAATCAAACGTTATCCATAGTGCTTTGACAGGCACGAAATATTCTAAACACTTCCCCTTACCAGAAAATCCGCTTAGTAATTGCATACTGCGTAAAAGTGTACTTTGTCTGATCCAGTCGAATAACAGCCAGCAAGTGGCGGTGGGGAATTTGGGACGCTCTTGAGTGTGTGCACCAAACCAATTTTTTCCCCTTCCAAAATGTTTCCCGACCTAACTGTAATGCAATTTTGGCCGCCACTTAGCTAAACATCAAATTCCAAAATGGCTACTTGGGTGGAGAGGCTATCTTACCTATCTTCTGTGTACTCAGTGGGCGTGAGATTTCCTTCTAAGCAATACTCTCATCGAGAACCCCGTGTATTAAGCTCCTACTGTTTTTCTCTATCACAATTACAAAGTAGGTGAGTGGGCAATGCCCATTACATCCAGTTAAATCGACTCCTTACACCCTATACAATTCTCCTAATCGCTCATCCATTTCCCATCTCAGGGTTCCTTGCCACAAAAATAAAGCCCACAGACTGACCCAGTTCAATCCTCCAACAAGAATAGGTTTGAAAAGATTATTTCACATCACATACTGGCGTTATAAGTGTGGTTCAATTGAAGAAACAGGCGACCAGCATAAGGCATTCAAAAAATTTAGTGAGAGGATAGCATCGGAGCCCGGCGGCAACAACGCGAGAGGAGGAATAAAGCAATCGCGATATAGGAGATCGGAGGAGGATGGAGTTAGGGTGAAAGTCGTAATAATGAGGGGAGAGAATTTGTCATAGTAGTAGTTGTAATAGTAACGGATCCAAGCTTGGCAAAAATCGAAGCAAAGTTGGTACAGAAGACGTAGCTTCGCTTAAACCGAGTAAATCAAGGGGGTGGGTGGACATGAAGCAAAAGGGTGGAGGAGCAACACGTTTAGAAAAAAGGCTACTTTTGTCATCTCCGCATAAGCAGTTATATATATGTATGTATAGATATATATGTATATTTACATATACATATATGTGAGATAGATAGGTATAGCAAAAGAAAGGAGGGAGAGAGAGAAAGGTCTGCTACACACAAAGTAGAAATTGCATGTAATCGTCTCGTAGAAAAGGAGCGATGAATAAACAAAGGGAGACACGAGCGACAATGTAAATTAATAACTAAAATATGATCACCTATTGTCGATCCGACAACACAAATATGCATGAATCAGGAAAGTGGTGGGCTCGGAGTCATGAGTATACACGCGTATCGCCAGACAGAATTCGAGGTCAAGGACACTCTTGCTGGGCTTTCATTGTTGCTCGCAGGTAGAGTAAGGTGAGGGTAAGGCAGCTGCTACAGGCTGAGAGCGACTGGAGGAGAAGCAAGATATGTAGGTGTGAGTGCTTATGTGTTTATATATGAGTGGGTAAAGGTTTATGTCTGTGGTAATCTTTATCTCCTCCAAGAGTTATTACTGTAATCCTCACTTTTTGATGTAATTAATGCAACAGGGCCTGTTCCGTTCGCTTGCTGGAGCGGGAAAAACCGTCCTCTCCCTCGGCCTCCTCGCTTCTTTCGCGGTTGCGTGCTGAGGATCTCACACTACCGCTGCCAGCATCGGCATCAGCATAGTCCGTGGATTGGCTCTGCCTCTGCCTGAAAGCGATTGCTGTGAGGCTCTTGCGCTGCTCACTATCGTACCGCGCGTCTAAGCCCATACGAAAGGCGTTGACAACTTTGAGCTGATGGATTATGGAGAGACAGAGACAGAAAAGGAGGAAAATAAACAAATTAATCGAACGATGAAAAAGAGGAGAGGGAAGGCGGAGGTAGACTAACGTGGGAAAGCACTTAAAAACAAACACTGAAAGCAAAATAAGGCCACACCAACACAGTACAACACGAACTAATAGTGTAGGGGACGTTCTGGTGTTAACCAGCTCTAAAAACCCCTATGTAGTGTGGTATGTGTGCTCACACTACTACACCAAAGTACTCTAAGGCTGAATTTTTAGCCAAACCTAGGTGTTATACTGACGGAGTTAGTAGCTAAGTTATTCAATCTCGCCTGTTGCTAGATAGACTAAACAAAGCTAGCATGCAGTTCATGCACAAATAAATGTGGAATCACTGCTACCAGCTCGGACAACTGCCTGTTATAACACAAAATCTAGACAACAAAGAGTGCTGTGACATGTAATCTTCCAGTGTCACATTAGTGATGAGGCTCCGAGCCCGGACCCTCCTGGTTGCGGTGACTTGGATAATAAACTTACTTCGGCCATAATTTGTGTCTGCAAAGTGGTGACAAATGGTGCAGATACGAAGTGAGTGTTCATACTATCTTAATTTACATTAATAAAAGGGTAAAAGTATTAAAAACATGAAAGGGGAAAAAAAATACGCAAACTTCATAGCGAGACGCCTTCCCAACCAATCAGATTGAAGCGCGTTAATTGATTCGTTTGCCGAATTCCTAAGCACTTTAGACGCATAGTTACCACAATTTCCCCAAAACTACCTCCTCCCAAACAGTATCAGTACTGGAAACGTGATAGTAGAATGATTTAGAGGCAGCGTCATACACTCCTCAATCCTTTTTTCCCACCGTCATCTCCATTAAATTGATACACTGTATAGACACAGACAGGAGGTATTGTTTCCTTGGCTCGTACAAAGTATCTGCCTGCATATATCAACTGTAAAGAGGCGAAATTAATTAAAAACAATGCAAGACTAATAATAAAGTAGGAAAAAGAAACTATGGTAAATGGCAATGAACGAGGAGAAAACACAATTAAAGAAATAACAAGAATCCGAAGTATGCAACGAGGAGGAGGAGGAGGAGGAGGAGTTGCACTAACTTTTATCCAAAATTCCTTGTAGAATGAAAGTAAGAGAGGCATGTTATTAGGTTCAAATGCCCATTATTTTTTCTCCTTCTTTGCTGCTGTGCACGGTAGGGGGGAGGGGGTGGGGTGGACGGGAGGTGGAGGAGGGGAGGAAGCGGTGAGACTACGCAAAGACAGTTTAAATGGAGCAGCAGTTAAACAGTGCCCTTTCAGAGAATAAGCAGCAGGAAAGCGTTCAACATTAGGTGGTCGACTCAAGAGGAAGGATCGACGGTGAAATGCGTTAAGGGTCTGATTAATCTAAGAAAAGTTGTTGTTTCCGAATTAGTGTGCATCTGAAACCCTCTCCATTAATTGCAAATGGTGGAGGTGGGGTAGCGAGGAGTGGAAAAAATACTTTTATATTGCAATTAGGATAGTTCCCAGTGGCTAAAATAAGCTGGACTTCCGAGAAAAAAACAGCTCCTTCACAAACAACCTTAAAATCTTCAAAGAGGAAATTTGAAAAAATGGCTCGACCGCTCGAGGGGTTATCTTTTTCCCTTTCCTTGTTTGTCTGATGCTATCAGACCTGGTTGTGAAGCCATAGTGCCTCTCTAGTTACGGAAGCATGACAAACAACAGTAGGCGTAGGCATGGATCAAAGTAAACTGCCATGGATTCGAGAAAGCCCCTTCTCCAGTGTGCATGGGCATTGTGTGATGCCGCTTTGTCACCACTTAGAGCCTGAAACAGCAAATGGCTATTCAACTTAAATGACCGCACGCTAAAGACCAAAAAACTATGGCGCAAGATGATATGGTCCCCTCTCTCGTAAAGGTCATACAGAGGCTGGGAATTAAGCCACTAGCTAGTAGCTCCAGCAGGAACAAACAACAGTTAGGAGGGCTCGTGCATTCCGTCCATTCCATTCCGCATCCAACCGGATAAGGAACTAACACACAAATAATGAAGAAGATGTCAACCGCAAAGCCGATGGAGATATGGGAGATCCCAAGAGAGTACACCACGGGGAAAGTAGTGTAGGTGAGAGGGCAAAAGAATTCTTTTAATGGGCTTTAGGCGCAAGCAGACAGAGTGAGGTAATAAAGCAAGCAACTAAGGGCAAGGGAGGATACGGCATGACGGAACGAGACCAAATGGAATGGGGCGGGAGGCGGGCAAGGCTAGGCTAGGCTGGACTAGGCGAGTATCTCTCTAGACAGGTAGGCATGACTGGCGCGCAACTGATCGCACCTACCGGGGGGAATCATACGAGGTAGGGGTGAGGAGAGATAGCGGATGAGGCAGAACGCCGAAGAGGGAGGGAGGGGGGGGGGAGGGAACAATGGGGTGAGGGTGCACATAGACAATACTTACAGTTTGCATCTACGCGCAAGCGAGTATGGATGGGAATAGGAAAGGGAAGATAAGGTAAATATTTCATTAAGCCATCGGTGAAAGTGTATATATACACAGAGACACGCACAAAGCAAATTGTTGGGTAGAAAATAAATATTTGTACAGATCGACTCAAACCAGTGGTGATTAGATATAAGTTCACATGAACACTTCATTAAAGTAGCAAAAAAAACTGACCCGTGCTTGCTGAAATGCATACAAAGCACTTAGAGAGGATGAAAGTGATCAAATGCATCATCAACACTGGTGGAAAAGAAAAAAAAAGTCGTTTGTTTTAAACAATGAAGGGGATTTTAAATCCCCGCCTTTTGGAAGTGAGGTACACCACTTAAGTGGGCGGGGAAGGGAAGAGGGACCAAAAGAAGGAGATGCCTTTCTGTCGAAAAACAGGCAGGTTTAAACGGTTTTTTTCTTTTAATGCATGATTAATCTAGACCAAGTACTTCTACAGCGCTACACCCTGAGCAGTGAATGTTGACAGGCATTTTTGACAAAGGCTCATCCCCCTTAGCGATCTGACAAGATAGCAAGTTCGAAGGTACTCTTTTAAAAACAATTTAAAAGATAGAAAAAATTAAGAATGCTTAGGCAACTATTAAAAAGGGACGAAAAAGTGTTGCTTAACATTAGTTGAGAGTGACAAGCCATCAGTATGGACTTAGTGAATCGAATTACCTGAGTTTGAAGACGGTTAAGACCACGGAGCCAGAGAATTTGACCTTTGACAGCGGCTTCTTCCTCCTCCGATGGAGTGCCCGAGGGCTCGGCCTCAATATCCTCTTCTTCCTCTTCCAACTCCTCCTCTGCTGCCTGTTCTGCCAACTTGCGTCGTTTGCATTCGGGAATAATAGAGTCGGGCACTGAGATCACTAGCTGTAGTAATGATTAAAATGAATAACGATTACTGATTATAAAAGAAGGTAGGAATCGCATACAGAATGAGCGTATAATGTAATATAAGAGCTAAGCTTGATGGTCTGTAAACAAATTAAACCTCAATTATAATTTATCTTTAAATCTAACGCAAGCAAGGAGACGGGGTGGGAGGATGGAGAGCAGTAGGGGAGTGGGAGGTGGAGGGGAGGGGCGGGGCGGGGTGTAGGATCTGCTATCATTATCTTTGCCATCCAATCATATTGACGCTTGATCCCGAAAAAAGGCGACTACGAATCTGCCCTAAGACCAACACCAAGCTCATCCCGCCTCACAAAATAGGTGGAGAGCAAAAAATTCAATGGTGTCTGAGCAGCAAAGACGCTATAGCAGACAAAAATAATGAGTACAGGACTTTTTACAATAACTAACCTGGCCCCAAACAAGTTCGCCAATACCGAAGAAGAGGCACCACATCCATTGATTCAAGTCAAGACCGTGGGTGGAGAAAGCATAGCCACCAAATTCAACAATAATTATCTGTAACACCATAGTAGCAATCCAGATGATAAGGAAGATCCAATTGCGAAAGACTCCACTGAAGACATTGCGTTGACCATGAATTTTGCGAGCATTTAGTTCATTGAAGAGAGTCATCAACACAAAGGAATTGAAGATGGCTGTGAAATGTTGAGTCGGTTTAGATATCCCATTGGCAACGAGTTCTCGTGCACTGTCACACTCCAATATGTACTCGCCTGGAGGTGGAAAAGAGGAAAAAAAGGAATGGAGGGTGAACAGGTGGCGGCGGTAGTATTGCATAGTCCAAATTCAAGGGGAAAAAGATGCAAATATTCTTGAGATTTTTTAAAGTAAGCGACTGAATTATTAACCATAGATGCATTGCGCTTACAGCCCTCCGTCCTGACAGCTGTCAAGACACCTGTCATAGAATTAACCGGACTCGGATATCGTGTGACGAGGATTTGAGGCATTTGGCATTTTGCTTAAGGCGATTAGCTTTCTTGGAAATTTTTTTGCCTACTTTTTGATGATGCACTCGTAAAATCCACATTGCAGGAGAAGTTAACACTCTACCTCCTCTGGCTCACACATTTTGGCGATCACCTTCAACTCAGTGACAGCATGTATTGACAACCAGTTTGTCAAGCAGAAGTGATTTCACCTCTCCTTCTCCTTTTTGCAATTAATGTATCTGTTAAATGAAAAAAAAAGTGGGAAAAATAGAAGCCCCTCCTGCCTATTTATAGATTCCTTACGGAGAGGAGATTTCCGTACCTAACATATCCTAACTGAGGCGGCAGAGGCGCTTTATAACATGGGCATAAACACTCCTTCAAAAGAGTAAAACAAATTACCTTTAAATAGGGAGCTGATGACGCTGTGTAATAAGTTGTTTGTCCTCTATCTTATGAGTAAATAATCAGAAGTCAGAACACACTGACAGGCGATAAATAAAGGATTGTAACTCTGGCATCAAATGACTAATTAGGTAATTAATTAACTTCCTGTCAGACATAATCTTTACGACAGATGAAAAGAGGCTTGCATTGGGAGGAGGTGGGGGCACCATTACGGATCACATTTAGTCGCCAAATGGAGTTATTGCCCTTGCTCCCCTCCCCCGCCTCCCTCAATTGCGGTGGGGGAGAAAAAACGACTGATTAACTGAAACAACCTTCAGTCACTGGGATGGGAGGGGGGAGGAGGGGGAATGGAGAAATTACCCAATTTGGGCGTAATGGTAGCAAAATGGGGGTATCGAACAATCAAAATTACCTTTTATGCAATCGGATTTAATTATCTTTCAATTAGGGTTTATTATTTTACGTGGTACACTCAAATGACTCACTTAACGGGTAGAAATTTGAAATGGTCAACACCTTCTACATATACACAGAGGAATGAAGAATCACCTTTTCCCCACCCTTTCAAGCTGTTGAGTTTAGAACAGCTCAACAGCTTGAAACAATCTGATAAGCTGGGCTAGAAGTGGAGAAAAGCGGACACGGGTGGGGAGGAACCAAAACCAAGAAAAAGGTGATACATCAGCAGTCTTGTCAATGTCAACAGCCCCATATCAGTAGTAATTCAGCATTACAAAGAAAAAAATTGGCATTTTGCCAGCGAGTTCTCCAAATATATGGTTGAAGGGAGTGTGCGTGTGTGTGGCTGATTTAATTGCAGTAACTAGAAATGAGCCTGAATGGTCAACTCTCTACCTATTTATGTTTGTGTTTTTATTAAATGACGCAGCATTCTTCTCGCACTTGTCTCCGGTCCCCACTATGTTTCAATGACAGGAAAAGCCGCATTGGTAAACTGAAAAGAGAAACTCACCTGCGAAGAGGAGACCCATAATGACAGCCAGTTGATAGGCGGCATGTAAAAGGATGTTTTTGAGCATACTTCGACTGACAAGTGGAGAAGTTCGACCGTAGGGCTGCCTCTCCAACAATTCCGGTGTCGGTAATTCTGTCGCCAGAGCCAGTGATGCCAATGTATCCATGATTAAGTTGACCCACAACATTTGCACGGCCTTTAGTGGACTGTCCTTAATGGGTGGGTGAAAGAGGGAATAAACTTTAGCTGATGCCACTAATCGTCTCTCAGCCCACCCGTGTCATAACCTAGTTGACAAATTGGCAAGAGACAGTTTACAACAGAAGTATCAACATTTGGTAAACACTTAATGCCTTCCCATATTGGAAAAAATACATTCATTGGGGAACATATGGATCTATCTAAACCTACGGGAACGTACAAACACAGACCCACTACCAGTTTGCCGGCTACTTCCAGATTTATCACTCCCCGCAGAGTGACACCAACCACCAGGCCAACTTACAGAAACAAAAGCTGCACCAATAAATGCGACAGCGATGGCAACCACGTTGACGGTAAGTTGGAATTGCAAGAACTTCGCAATCGAGTCGTAGACATTACGACCCCACATGACAGCCTTGACAATACTGGTGAAATTGTCATCAGTGAGGATGATATCAGAGGCCTCTTTTGCTACATCCGTGCCGGCAATACCCATAGCAAAGCCGACATCAGCCCGTTTAAGAGCCGGTGCATCGTTTGTACCATCACCGGTAACAGCGACCACTTGACGTTGGGGCCCCTTGCGACTTTTGATGATACCGCTTACCAAAACGTATTTGTCCTAGGTAAAGAAAAGTTTCAGCTTTCAAATTCCCTTATTTTAGTAAAATTCTCACTCGCTCTCTGTCACTGTAGCTCTCATTATATCACCTAATATCTACACCTGTCAAATGATTTGTTTTTCGAGATATTACTACCACAAATTTGACCATCCACAATTAGAATGATGTCATCAGAAAGTGGAAGAGAGATCTAGTACAATGTGGGTTTACTTCTCCACCTTCACATGGGTTACTGATAGTACGGTGAAATGAATGTGCTCACCTGAGGACTTGACCGTGCCAAAACAGCAAGATTCATCCAAACCTTATCGAAGAGCTCCTGTTTCACCTGTCCGGTAACCTTATCACGTATGCGACGATTGAAATCTTGACCCTCGAGAACGAGGAAATTTTCACCAGGACGAAGAATACCACACTTAGTGGCAATCGAACGTGCAGTATTCACGTTGTCACCTGTCACCATGCGTACTGTAATACCAGCATTCTGACATTGACGAATGGCTGGTGGTACTTCTGGACGCACCGGATCCTCAATACCCACAATACCGATGCATGTCAGATTATTTATGACAGTATCCTCATCGTCCCAGTTTGGCTCACCTTCGGCTAAATAAAAGGAGTAACAGAAGTTCAATCACCGTCCAATCAGAAATGGGATAGTTAAGATGACATCGAGTGATTTGTCAATTGGTTCTGCTGGACTGTCATCCAGTAGAAGTGAAGGTGGTTGTAAAATCTAGACACAGAAACAGAGTGTTACGAGTAGATCTACTTCTCAATGGAGATCAAGTTCCTCCTCACGGTCGAGTCTCCAGGTAAAATGAAGTTTGACAAACAACCGGACGATTTCAGTTTGGACTACGACAAAGCAGAGAGAGTAAGGTTTACACCAAGGCAAGGATGACAAAAGTTATCTTACTTGATTTTCATTTTTTTCTGTTTTCAAAGGAAACCGGCAGAGGGAGAACGGATTGATCCCTCGACTGCATAGCCATATCTCTCTCAAACTGCATCGTCAACAGTGGTGAGTTCATATTGCTAGCCAGTGCAAACAATAACACCCGCAGATTCGTGAAATAAGTAATGAAAATAAAACTACCTTCTATCCTCTGTCCTCTCATGTCTTCCATTAGACTCGGACAACTGTCGTGTCAAGCACAATGACGTGGGAAATTGTCAAACCAAAAGGAGGGCTTCACACTTAAGCTTGATTCGCTCAACTGACATGTAGCACTCCTATCACTCGCCTCAACAAGCTGCGAGCACAACTATGCAGAGGGAATTAATTTGGGTTAGGGTCCTAATTTTCCACGTGAAGGAGCAATTCAATGTTCACCACTAACCACAAAATTATTTGCCGAATGTAGTAACTGACAAAGCCACTACATACACAAAATAAAAAGGACAGTTGTCTGTGAGTCAGTCACAAAACGTCTTTCCAGTATGTTTGCCTTTCGAGCAAAGAAATAATCTGATGCGGTAATAGAGTTCGTAAAAATTCTTTAACAAATTATTGCGCTTGGCGAAGTGGAAGTGGAGAGGAAAACCGAAATATTCCTCCCTAATGGTTTTAGTGGTGCTCTCTCTCGATTTGATGACCAAATTTTGACTATGAAATAATATCGTATTAAAGTTTCAACAAAATGCCTTTAGGTATAAAAAATAGTGAAGGTACAAACATACATGCATTGAAACGTCTATAGGCTAGACCAATGGTTCGAAGACCGTCTCCAGCCATGACTTCAATGACCTCTTGTGTCAGACGCTCCTGATCGGCTGGGGAGAAGGGTACAGGCTCGCCAGAAGCGTCTAAGATCCACTTACACCTATCATAAAGATGTAGTAGGCTTGGCACCTTTAAGCAAGAAGCCTGTCACATTGCCACCGCCGATCACTTACTTGCGAGCTACAATCTCAGAGGCGCCTTTTGTAAACAGGAGGAAGTCACCGTTCTCCTCTTTGATGACAGTACTCATAGACTTTCGGACAGAATTAAAGGTGTACACCCTGTAGAGGCGCTCCTCAGGCCATTCAGATCGCATAGCTTCGTAGTTTCCACCTATGGCATTTACAAAGCCAAGTAGAGCACAGTCTGTCTTGTTGCCCACCTGCTGAGGCAAAGCTCCCGGACTTGGTGGAGGCTAAAATGGGAAAAGTAGACGCATCTCCGAACAAAGCCATCGGCACCCTAGCTAACAAGCTATGAGGTGGTGGTGGTGGCAGAAGGGGGGTAGACATCAAGCCAGACAGCACGTCTTGATGATTAATTCAACTTCTCGAGGGGATCAGCAAAGTGAAGAGACACGCAACTATGAGACCTACCACATGTATTAAATAGGACTTCCTACTATCAAAATGCCAGGAGAAATTGGCTACTGTTCTTTTTTTCGCCATTTTTCGCCTTTCTGATTTACCTAGACTACTATACAACTCACCTAGTTTAGTTAAATGCGTCAAAAAAGTCACTAACCAAAGATTTTGTCACGAGAGAGGAGGTATGATGAAGGGACCTGATGAAAAATAATGCGCTACTTTTTTTCGCGCTCTTCTCTCTCTGCAATAGCCAGCGGCAATAGAACACAAGATAATTAAGTGCTCACAAGCAGTAGCACCGAGCCAAGAAAGGCGAAGGAGGTAAGCGGAATAGCTTTGCCTCATTCAATTAACACAGTCACAGTAAAAATGAATCTATTTAAGAATCTAGAACTAACCCTACCTTCTCGAGCAACTCAACTATCAATACTTAACAAGGAGACAAAACAAATGATTTAAAAAACTATTTTCTCTTTTTCCTTTTCTTAAATAATCCCATATCAATCGGCCAACTAAAAATTTCTACGTACTTCTCCAAAAGTACTTACAAGAAGTTTGGATGTATAGCCACTATTAATGGGTATGCTCTGTTTGAGTAGTTGAAGCACAGGAGGTGGGAATTTTTCTCCACTGGGGACAGCCTTGTAGTGATGCTGACCCATATAACACTGTACCGCTGTCATACGATTCGTGGTCAGTGTTCCAGTCTTGTCCGAACAGATGGCTGTTGCATTGCCCATGGTCTCACAGGCGTCCAGATGGCGAACCAGATTGTTGTCCTATAAATAGTCAGAGGCACGAGGAAAGAAAATTACACAACTGGTTGAAATTGAGAACTATGGCTCATTCTTTCGTAGTAGGCCCCCACGCCTCCGGTTAAACAAGGTTGGAAGTGAAACTTCATATCCAACTATTCCTCCCATTTTTATTCAAAAATTATTTTCAAGTTACTCCCTCCATGAGAGGGAAAAGAAAAGATTACAATGATCAAAAAGGAAGGGGAATAGAATCCCACACTCTGAAGGATTTACCTCTTCTATGACAATTAAATGGAAAAGGGAGTCTCTTGTTAGCGAGGTAGAGGGAGAAAAATCAAAATATGAGGTATAGGTGCAGTTTTTAAGCGTGTTGCTAACCCCCATCCTCTCAACTTGTAACACCTAAGATGAAAACAACAGCACCAAAGCATGCCATAGTTGCGTGGCATTGTGAAAAATAGCCTTTTGGCAGCAAAGGTATATTGAATTAGTGATAGTCAAAGACTGGAGGTGAGTATAGTGGAATAAGTAGGGTGCTCAAAAGGGAGAAGAAGAGAAAGAGAAAAAGGATCTGTTGATATTTCTTCACTAAAATGAGAGGGAGGTGAAAATAGGTTAAAGGAGTTGCCTACAGCGGGCAAGACGGAAATACATAGAGAGGAGTGAAGCACAGCGTGATTTCCGGGAGGGGGAGGGGGGAAGGAGAGAGCGAAAGTAGAGAAAGAGAGAACCAGAAAGAATCCATTTGAATAAGAATAGTTACTAAAGCAAAAGTAAACTCACATCCATCATCTTCCGAACGGAGTAGGCGAGAGCGAGTGTAACAGCCAGAGGTAAACCCTCAGGTACAGCAACGACCAATACAGTGACACCGGTAATTATGAAGCCTACCAAACGTTTCAAATGCTTGCCCGTGTTCCATGGCTCCTTCTCGTACACGAATGTCACGATTGTAAATTTGAGCACCAAAATTATGACGGTGAGCACGGCAACAGCAGTACCTAGAGAGAGGAAAGCACAGCCAATCGAACTCTTTGATCTCGAAGTCAGATAAACACATTGCGTTAAGCTGCTTCTTTTTTCAATGAGCTGCTTTCTTCCGTTTTTTTTCATACTCTCCAACCCGAGTTGAGAAGAGATGGATTGATGGGGGAGAGATTTATGACCACAAGGCGATCGGGCACACGATGTAAGTTACATTTGTTGCCGCAAAAAAAACACGTTCTCACCTTTCAGTTATTGCGAACTTTCACACAGGATGTTGACCTCCAAATCTCCCAGGCAATAATTTTGTTGAGGTAAATTATATAGGCTTGTTAAAACAATAGCAATTACGATTCTTTCACAAGAGTACCCTAACTATACTCTCTTGCCCTCTAATTGCTTTTCCGTTACCTCCTTCCTAGAGGGTAATGCATATCCAAGGAAGGCGAATACCGTCGACATTTTCACCAACAATTCATACAATCCCATATGCACCCATACATAGGGAGGGATAGGCTGGTAGTAAATACCCCGAGGGATTGTGACCAGACATGGCCCATTTGTAGGGAAGTTTATGGTTAACGGTAACTTTTGGAAACAGAGGGATAGACGATCCACAAAACAATTTCGTTGGGAATGTCAAAGATAGCAAACTAAAGCTGAGTGTCTACCCAAACCATTGATGATATTCAAACAATTACAGAAGTAATTATGAGAATGGGACATCTACTACTTAATTTCGTTTAAGCGGAATCGAACCCTTACCCACATAACCAATTTGAATGGCAAGTTTAGTGAGCTTAGTTTGAAGAACCGATTTCTCCTTTCGTGATTTTGACTTCTTTTTTTTCTTTTTCTCATCCTTTGCTTGATCATCAGCTGTCTTTAGAGCTACAGTCTCAGGAGTCTTCTCCACTTCTTTCTTCTTATCGGACTTCTTGGAGTCGCGTGTAGAGTCACCTGAAAAGTAGGCGTGAGAAAAAAATGGCAGAGTAAGATAAAATGGAAGAAGGAAACGGAACGAGAGAAAAAAACTGAAACCAATCTGATTTCAGTGGCACATCAGTAAATACGCACCAAAACTCCACTCTTCTGGTTAATATGCAAATGCGGTAGGAAGGAGGTAAAGATTAAGCACAAAGAAAACAAGAGAAAAAGCAAACGGATTAATTTTAAAATTAGAAACACGAGAAAAAAAACACTACTTGACGTATTCTCAGAGGTCAATACCACCGCTTCAGGTTGAGAATGGTCTTCTGTTTTGAGGTTTAACAACAACACTTTTCTTAGGATGGGAGAAATTGGAAAAAAAGAGGATATCAATAAAAAAAACAGAGGAAAGGTTGATTGCAGAGATAGGCTTTGTTTTTGATAGAAAAAGTACTGCCTTCTCGAAGATTGGACTAGGTAGAAAAGAGCAGTCATTCATCCCTTTAAACTATGGCCTGAGCAATATGGCTAAAGCAGTAAAGGAGATTTTACGAATGGAATAATAATTTTATCGTTACCTAGTTATCTCCAAGCTGGGAGCATGACGGGGATTAATTTTGGCGCTAGCGAGAGGCGATGAGGAAGACGCCACAGTGGGATCTTTATCACTCTCTCCCTCTCCAGCTCGCCTTCCCTTCTAGCATGCAAATTCCCCATAAATTGCATCAGGCAAAGTGATAAAACAGTTGTTTGAGGCTCATTCCTACCCACGAAAAGTTTGGCGATTTATCTCACAAACAGGCCTTCGTGTAACACTTGACGTATTAACCTTTTACAGAGGAGGGATTGATTTTGAAGCCACCCCACCAATCATCCTCACATGAAAAATGCAAAAAATTAGGGCACAAAGTGGCGGTACCTTTTTTGTCTTTACCCTTCTTCTTTTCACCCTCATCATCGGCAGCCCCTAGGAGGGCAAAAATGATGCCAGCTTGTGAATTCACACCGACTGCTGTTATGACTATTCGGCCTGATCCTTCCACTACGTTGGTTCCTGAAAGGGGACAAAATAAAGAAGTCAAACAAGTGATGAAATTTTCCTGCCTTGTTTTTATATCCTAATTGATTATAAGAAACAAGTAGAAGTAACAACTGCTTTGTTTATAAAATGTAGGTGTGACCACTTTCAAGATAAAAACGGCTGTATAATGCACAACACAAATGAAACGCCTTATAGTTGGAAAAAGTGCAGACACATGATTAGTAGATCTTGGTTATAACGAGACCTCCTAAAAACCTTTTTACCAATCCTTCTGTACCTGCATTATAATTATCTCTACAGATTTGTAGACGTGTGGAGCCTGACACTTAAGAGTGATTGGATGAAGTAGCGGTTTGTTTTTCAGTCATATATAACAGCGAAGGTGAACAAATGCCTCCTTGGCCTAGTCATTTGTGCAATTACGGCTGTACACCTACACGCCAATAACTCCCAATATGAGACAGAGATAAGCTTTATGGCACGACAGAGACACCCGAGAATTCATGACGTTTTACTAATTATGTTTATGGGAGGCAAAAACCACAGTAACAACCACCAGTTAAACAGACGAAACTAATTTGAGGAAACCCTCGACAGGCATATAAATCATCCCTTTTAACCACGCGATGTGCTTTTCTATCCTTTAGAAACTGGCTACTGGTGTCAGTAAGAAAAAGAATTAACAACTTTTCAGATCACATACATCACCTTGGGGACGGTAATATCAGTGTTTTACTGAGGTGGGTGACAGAATCGTCCAATTCAACAAGTGAAATGGCTGCTCAATTCTGGCACTCACACTGAGAAGGACTATTAGCGCTGAGTAAGAGAGAAAGAGAATGCATGCCAACAAAAGCATAGAGAGGTGAAAAGCACAATTTCACCGCCACAAACGTGCAGCGGCCTATTGAAATCCAATGCTCACAATGAGAACATGCCTAAACCTGATAGCACGAGGGCAGAAAAGAAGGACTGCATAGTAGAAAATTTCAGGAGAACAACAAAAGAAAAATAGAGAAAAAACTACCCAAGGCAGCTTTGGGTAAATAGGCCTCTAAAAATGCTTCCCCCCTCTGGCCCTTCAATTACTCACCCCCCTCTTGACCAATCAGAATTACGCATGCTCCGGGTATCAGGTGGATGGGCTAGTAGCTCTCCAACGGAATAATTGCAAAAAGACAACTATTTTTTCCAGTACCGTACACGCAAAGCTGGGTTAATCCCGCAGTATGATTTACGATGCGGCTGTGCATTAAATACCAAAGTGAACTAAAAATATGCAATTGAAAACTTACCAGAGAAGAGACAGACATCCTTAGTTTCGCTCTTTTTAACTTGATCCGATTCACCTGTCAATGCGCTTTCATCAATTTTCAAATCATTGCATTGAATAAGGACACCATCAGCTGGTAGGAGGTCTCCTAAGGTGGGCACAAAAAAAGAGGAACAGTGTGAAATTCAAAAAATAAAAATGATTGGGAATTAGTTGGGTTAAACGACTTCAATTGCCAAGTGTTAATTGGCGAAAACAGTACGTTGAATAATCGGGTCAGATGTTCTCACGTAGCTGAGAGATGACAAAGCCTCAATAAAGAACGTGGGTGTGTTATTTGTTCCATGTGAAATAGCCCCAAGTGTGTAAAATTCGCCTCGTTCGGGGAAAGAAAGAACCACAAAATGATGGGTGATAAGGGGTGTGAAATAAGGCAACTAAATGAATCAGCAAGAAAATTCACTTTCCTGCCAAAAGCACTTAGCAACGGGGACACAAAGAAGGCTGAATGATTCATCGACGATGGAAAGGCCTAAGGCAGAGTGAAAAAGAGTGGTCCTTTTCTCCTCCCTTGTTGCTTCTTGGATTTGCAAGACCTCCTCTTCCTCCTCCTCCTCCTCCTCCTCCTCCTCCTCCTAGGGCTACTACCATAAACACAACATACCAAAGGGATGCTTTTGACAGGGCAGAAAGCTAGAACCACGTAAAGGGACTTTTTTTTATCTACTAAGGTAAAAATTGTGTTGAGAGTGGGGAATAGGCATAGACAAACAAGATCGTTTGTCAAAACTGTCTGAGCAACAAAGACGGAAAGCCGTTCCTAAGTATCGGAAGGATCCAAAGGCGGGCAGGCTGGAGTGAACGAAGACGAGGGGGAGGGTGTGAAGGGAACGGTGATGGTGGTGGAGTAAGTAGATGAGACGTGAGAATTCACCGATTCAGGTCCTCACTACCAGCCTTAAGGTCTGCCAATTTTCAGATCAAATTCTTCAATTTACGGCAGTAAAATAAACAAAGAGTTAAATCTAAATGGGAAGGGATAGGAGAGGAAAAAGGAAGACAAACACACAGGTAACTCACCGTATTTAATTTGACATACATCACCAACAAGTATGTCAGAAATGGGAAGCTGGACCAGTTGACCTTGTCGAATGACAGCAAATTTGTGATCCGATTCAATTTTGTTCTGCAAACCGCGAAATTGACGCTCCTTAGACCAATCATTGAAGGCCACCACAAGAACAACAACCACCACAGCAACGAGGATAGCAACTCCCTCTATCCATCCGGCCTCACCCTCTGTCTCGTCTTGACTGGCGACATCAACGTCTTTTCATGAGTAATGAGGTTGGAAAAAAAAGTAAGTGGAAAAAATTCGGCAAATAGCTTTTAATACATGAGCGTCGAAAAGAATTGTTTGCACTAAACTACCCTCTCTCCCTTTTTCTGATAAGACCCATCTGTATACACGGGGGTTGAGAAAAAAGAACAGAAAAGGATAGGAGAGGAGTAGGAAGGTGGATAATTACACTGCATATTTAATGACCCATTTGTTGAAACCAAGGCAGGGTTGTACAAGAATGCACCGAAGTCAAAGTCATAAAGTTGCCCTACTTTGTAATCAAGCGACAAGAGCAGCTGTCAAATGGTAAAGGTGGAGGAATGGGCTAAACTACCGCCTCTCTACTAATCCCTATTTATTGGACTGTCAGATAAATTGTTTGGTGAGAGGACTCCACAAACGCCTGCTATATGGTAATCGCAAGGCCACACCTTACCAATTACCGTCGCTGGTACCATCAAGTAGTCTCTTTGTTCTCCCCCAAAGACATCATTTGCATAAGAATGCACACAGAAGGCGTACAATTAGGCATGAAAAAAATGAGGCATCAGCTTTCTCTAGTGGCATCGAAAAACTTGGCTGCAGTCGTCATTTAAAGGTGATGCATTAAGAGGACCATATCGCCTTTGCGGTGGGCAGAAAAAAAATATCCCAATCGGTGGTGGAGGGACAAAAAGAAGCAAAAAAAAATCTTGCAGATGGTGGATAAGCCATGGGAGGATTGGTCAGCGTCTGTCAAATCGTGGGCGCCTCTTTCCATGGATGTGTCAATCAGTGGTGCATGAAGCGTCAATCTAGTCCCACTGTGAAATATGATGCGTGTGTGTGCGTGTGATAGGTAGGTAGGCCTAACTTGTTACTGTAATTTTATTGTGGGGTAATTAAAAATGGGATGGCCATGGCGGTACACACAGAGCAAGGAGTGGGGGGGGGGGGAGGGGAGTGAGAGGGGCCTAAATAGGATGAGTGCGCAAGTCTACTATCAACATCACACGCCTGTTCGCTTGCTCGTCCGCCCGCCCGCCCGTCCGCCCGCATAACAACGCATATAAAGCGGCTGCCTACTTGCCTGGCTGGCGGGCGGGCACGCAAGCAGGCGAACGAGCTTAAAGTAAAGGAATGGTGACAATTTTGATTATGCTGAGGAGAATGGTGAATATGGCGGTTTTAGATTGGCTCAGAAATTGCTGGGCACATGCGAAGCAAGCGATAAACTAAGAAGAGGGCAGGGCTGAGCAAAGCAATAGTCACTAGGATAAGACTGAGTCAATGAAAAAGAAAACAACTACGTCTTTTTCATTTATCCACGAGGAAACGCAAACTCTTGTATACTTACAGTAGAAATGGAGGATTACTGACTATCGCCACCATGCCTAAACACATTTTTAAGCACGTGCATTCCCTCCCTCTTGCCTAACCTGTTCAAATATGACATAGACAGTGTAGACATTTCAACAGACACGAAGAACACGAAAGTAGGGACAAGAAGGAAGTTAAGGTGAGAGGTAAATTTAGCAACCAATATACAGACAAATTTATAGTGGATGAAATCAAACTGGAGCGACCGGAATTTGACCCAAATTCATTTGTGGTAGTAAAAAGGTCGTCACCTTTTTCTCCCACAAGTATAAGATTATTTTATACATTTTTTCTCTTTTACAGTAGGGAAATCATGTCAAAGAACTGAAACAGAAGTGGAAGCTTTTGCTTCTGTTTTCTCCCTTAAAATAGTAAAATTAAACAACCAGCAAAGTGCAGTGGACGCAAGCCCGAAGGAAGGAGGGACTTTAGTAAGTAATTACCCAACACACAACCACACGCGGCAGGAGTACAAAGGAATGGAATACTAGGGACTTTTTCATGCTAAAATATTCATGGATTGGAAGTCCGACTTCGTGTGCTGATTGAGGCGAGAAGGAGGCAAATGAGGGAGGTGAGTAAGTTCAGTTTACAGACTGGAGCATGCTAAAGTAAATCATGCGGGTCGGTGTTCCATTTTCTCAGGACTCAAACAGCATGAGGGCAAATTACAGAGCAAATATGTGAATAGATGCGAACGAAGGGGTGAGGGAGAACGAAATGACATTCAACAACAATTACCATCTAATAGGGCCGGAAGACATGCAAGTTGACGCAACAGCATTCGTCCAGCAGTTGGAATTCTGGAGATGCACTACCCTTGTTTGGTCCATTCATCGGATCACTCCGACCTGATTGTAACCAAACGAAGCACATACACAGCACCCAAGAGCCAGAGCTAATCATCAAGCGAAAAAAACGACTCATGACAATGACAGGACCACATGTCAAAAAGTTTTTTTACCCTATTTCTGGATGTTTTATGGGGGTAGATAAGTGCAGAAAGCACTGTACGAAAAAAAAAACGATTTATGAAGCAGAAGCGAAATGGAAAAGTGAAAGGGGTGACGGAGGATCGGAGAAAGTTTGGAATTTCTATAGATTCGGACTACGGATGCATACCCCACGGGCGCAAACCCCTACCGAAATCCCAACTAACGACATGTGAAACGTCGCGTGCAGAGGGCTGTCGAATTCCAATCAGACAAAAGCCCTGGCGAGATGACACCAACCAAGCGTACGTGCACACACACAGGACTTGTTGGTGCATCACATTGCTGGCCATTTCTGAATGGACAGCGGGCTTTAATCTTTCCCTCCCATCCTTTCGCCTTGGACACATGGGATTTCCTTCAAACAGTGTAAGGGATGAGAATGGTGTAAACAAACTTTGTTTGACGTATATTACAGCACAGTAAACGACAGTGCTGTGCACGTAGGCATAGAAGCGCTTTTTCTTGCTCCATTTAACACATAAACACACCAAACACCTTATTAATAATTAATCAACTGAGATCATCCAACCGCATTGTTTGCGGGAGAAGAACTAATTTCCGCCTTGCTTTTTTTTCCCACATTCCGTATTTAGTATTCTACCGTCCTCGGATGAATAAAAAGGGGGCTTTTGTATGCTTTATGAATAATGCATTTCAGTGAGATGGTATCTCCCCACACGCTAGGGTAGTCTATTTTAAAATAACCAGAAAATAGGCTTTAAACATGTCGTAACAGTAACCGCCCGACTGGGTGTAAGCAATAGCGGGCAGGAGCAGACACCCTGCTTTGCATTGCCAAATTTCAGGGCGCTAGTACATGCCATCGTGTGCCTGCTTTATGAATGGTGAAGCTCATCTCAGAGTTAATGTTGACTGACTTCATTTTCCCCTTCAAAGTAGGCAAACCGACAAGGAGGACAGTAGCAACAGGCGATACACTGACGACATTCTTGCATGCACACATTTAATGGAGGTGAATAAAAGTCCCTCCCGACAAAGGCATGCCCAAGGCTGCACAAGAAATGTGTGTAAATTTCTGCGCAATACTAAGATTCCTTTTTTTTCGGTGAAAAAGGTACCACTTCTTGGTCGGCATTTGAACCGATTAATCACTGTAGAGAGGCAAAAAATTGCTGCCATTTTATGCAAAAGCGTCACGAAAGTCACTGGAAATGAAGTGTATTTTCAGAGGATGACGATAAAATTCTGCAGAAGCGTAAGGTAAAATTTTGACGAAAAAAAAAACAGGAAACGTCAACCCGAGATGGAGGTGGAGGGGAGGGGGGGGTGGTTCTGGCCGACTTTTTTCTCAAATCATCAGCATCAAAGTTCAGTAGGAGCAAGAGTCTTCCCGCTCCTCCCCCACCTGCACATCTTGGAGATAAGGCTTAATGTTTATCCCAAAGGACTTCGTAAAATGATTTACACGAATCGTGATTAATTATTATTTAAATAGACAACACGGATCATAAAAGTGATATTAACGAGAAAGAGTACGCTAGAATAACAATTAGAGCGACGTAATCATTCTTTGTTGATGATTATGCATAACTCCTGTGGAGGCCAGTTGAAGCCTGAGATAGGCGCAAAGTGGGAGGCAAAAAAGAAAACTGTGACCTGTCATAAAAGGAAGGTGGGTTGAAAGCGCCAGAACAAATGAAACAGTAGGTTTACTTGCACCGCATCTAATTATGCTTGGGCCACCTTTTCAGTTAGCTACACAATCTAGCTAATAACCACCTTATGTAAGTGCGCATTGGATAAATCGCGGACAAATTAACCAGCAGATTTAGAAGTAGATTCTTTTTTTTTGATAACCTAAGGAAGGAGAGGAAAATCCAGACCCACGTAGAGACCAGGGGAGGGGGCGGGAAGGCGAGAGATATGCACCTACATTTGGTGTAGAGTGAGAGACCAAGAGAGACAAAAGCGGCGACAATGAGGATGATGAGGGTCACATCCTGCATGGCCTCCCACACCAATGTGCAGAAGTGTTTGGGCGGTTTCGGTGGAATAACATTGGTGCCAAAGACCTCCCGCCTCTCTTGGAAATCGGAGCCAGATAAACCTGGAGGTAAATTTAGAAGTGGATGTTTTAAATATTATTGCTTCAAAGACGGCCAGGCATATCCTATAAGGGTTTCACTTTTCTGCTTCCCCGAAAATCGAAAATTTAGAGGTATTTGGAACATTAAGTGGTACTGACGGCTTACCATCATGAGTAGACGTCTTGAGTTTTCTGCACAGACCCTGTATTCCACCATAACGTTCATTAAGGCATTTAACGCTGGCAGCACCCCTCGCCTCCATAAGGTGTTGAAGATCAGCCGTGGTGACCTCAAAGGTGGAGGGTCGTGCAACTCCCGCAGCTGCATTATCAGTGCTTTTTCTCTTTGTCATAGTCTATTATACACAGACACATGCAGGAATATATTTATGGGTACGCTGGGGTGCGTTTCTTCTCAATCTGGCTTCTTTCTTCCAATTCTACAACAAGAAAATATCACCATGCCTCATGAATACACGTCTAAAAAAGCTGAAAAATGGAACAATAAGTTAACATTAAAAATAACATTTTAAAGAATTCATCATCAAAAAGAAGGCGCCACTAAACTGCCAAATCATGACACAATAAATTTGAAGTACGGAAGATGAGAAATCAGATTTCTCCCGATTCGAGGTAAGCAACTCGTTGTGAAAAAGAAGAGGGAGCAGCTTATCAAATTCACAAAAAAAACCAACAAACACCCACCATTCTGGGGAAGAGCGTGTGCAAATAGAAGAAACCAGCACATGGGCCTGTGACTGGGTCTTACCCTTTTCTTAATAAGGCTAGGCAGGTCAAAAAACCCCAACATACACGATGTTTAAAAGTACAACTCATCTGCCTGGGCAATGGTCACTCTTTTCAATTTACCCCTGACCAACCACATGGCAAGGTGCGGTTACCTACCACGTATGATGGTTAAAGACGGAATTCCCGACCCGACCGTTTGCAATATATTTTATGCACAATTGAGGCAAAAAGGAGAAAGGTAGATTGGTTATACCCGTAATAACTGCTGTTAAAATAGGAAAATGAATTGCCAAAAAGTCATGGGTATGGAGAGCTGTAAGACCTATCAAAATATCCAACTGACAGAGCAGGGCAATTTTACCCTTTGAACAAGTAATGAAGGTTGCTTAGAGCTCTAGAATAATTAGACGCAACAGTTGTGCTTAAATAGTAGCTAGTTTTGTGAGCGAATGTGTGGCTGAAATTTTCCAGGAAATGCCACACAAAGCTAAAAATAAAAAAACTAACAGCCAAGAAATGGATTTCCACTGCTCTTTGAAAATGCAAGACATACATTGAGGTACAGCACATAGGAAAAAAGATTTAAAAAATGATGGTGAAATACCAAGAGCACAATCACTTGAAAAGTTTGCAACTAGAACACAATGGAAAACCGGAAGTGTAATCATTTTTTATTTTTTTGTTCTCTTACACGGTTACACAGACACCAGTAGTCCGAGTGCCTGCATCCACCTTTAAGAATAGATAATTTGATCTATGAAAGCAAAGGTGGAAGTCTTAACAAGCCTCCGGATATTGTGACCTTCGGAGTAGCACAGGTGCTGCATTTGATACGAAAGCGATGTAGGCATAACTCAAATATGAGTTTATCTTCAAACACACTTTGGCGTGTGAATGCAGTAACTTGAAAGTAGGCTTTACTTGACTACGCCCATTGCATGCTATGCCGAATGGTCGATGAACGAGTGTTTACAAAAGTACATAATATTATTCTTGACAGTATCTAGCACCAAATGGCATGCTAAAAAATATTCGCTAAGGTAGTAAAAACGAAATGTAGGAGATGCGAAACCCACTAGGTTAAGAAAGTTAATAGTGTTGTGCAACTCATATTAAGATTCGATATCGCAAATGTGAATAATAGTGCCAAAACACGCCCATGGAATTAGGACTGTTGCCATAGGATATAATGCAAAAAAATTAGCCGGTTCCAGTGAAATTAAGCAGTACACCAAATGCAGATTCTCTCACGAAGCCTGTGGGTGATAAAAATTTTCGGGGATTAAGGGAAAATTTAGTCACAATATGCGCCGAAAATGGTAGAAAAGTTTTGTAGAGATCAACGGAATTTCCAGGATTGGAAAAACATAATATGAACAAGAAGATCCCCGATAATAAGAGTACATCGCAGCCTGACCAACATTCAAGAAGATAACAGCATGAATAAAGCATAAAGTCCTTCTATTTCAAAAATGCTATCATTTAAATAATCCTTATACAGAACTTTGACATAAAAATAGCACAGTGAACCGGAAAACCCAAACATGGGTACTGAAATTTCAGGAAAAAAGCACGAAGGGCAATCTTTGAGTGAGTTTACTGGTAAAATATTAAAAATGGGGGAGAAAATCAAGTAATGATGCAGCAAAACCATGCATAATCTTTCAGTACAACCAACAAATTGATCAGTCAATGAACAAGAACTGCAAACTTTCAGTCGAACAACAGACATATCTGATGCATTTCACCACTTTAAATGGTTTACAGGAACACCAAGAAACAGAGTATTCCACGGAAACTAAAATATACGAACACAAGTGGGGGCGTTTAGGAGCACACGCAAATCCCAGCTCTCAAAACATACAGAACATAATTCTCCCATCAATTTCAAATATTCATACACCTGCTTTTCCCGCATATTTATAACCGTAACAGTTACCTCCAAAGACGACCAGACACGTAATCAGCCAAATCGAGAAACGAGAACTTCGAACAACGCGCTATTGTCGAGAATCATATATTTGACAGCGTTAAACAAATACGCAAAATTACACCATAACTCGGCACACGCAAATAAAACAACTTAAGAACACTTCTTTTCTATGATTGATTTCCCAAATTCTTCGTATTCATGCCGCGATATCCACATTTGTTGGAACGTGCCCTAAAGAAGCGTATCACCAAAAAGACCAACTCACCAGGGACCCCAAAATTGACCCTCCAACCCAGTTTGAAAACCTCCTCTCCATTAGAGAACTTGGAAAATTAACTTTCAAACGCATACTCTAAAAAAGCCCTTAGCAGAAACGTCCATTACCGACGGTGTCTTCAGGCCAAGATCCCTTTGCAGTCGATCCGTGAAACCAACAATCAAGCTCGTTCCACCAACTACCACGATATTATTATAGAGGTTCTGAAAGCAGATATTATGCAAGCACATCTTACCGGCCTGATGTCGATGTCACACAGGGAAATGCTACTGGAGACGATGTGGCTCATGGACAATTCGGAACTGCCCCCGCTTTGCTAAGAAACAAAATGAAAGGAAGGCAGCGTACCGGCAACACAGACGGATCGAAGAGGGCCTCGGGAATCTGGAAACGTTCATGACCCAACTCAACATTATACCCATTAGGGAATTCATACGATATGGTTGGAATGGTTTCCATTTGCCTAAAACATTCGAACATCAAAATAAAATAACTCTAAAACAGCATCATTTACGAAATACGAACTCCTAAGACATCAATTAGGATTACAGCAGCCTGCGTAGATACAACAACAGCCTAGATCACAACATCTTGCACAGTGAATGTGCAATTATTGAAATATTACACAGGAAAATAGTTGCCCCCAGTAACCACAAGCCGAAGCCTTCCCATGACTCTGATTTATGGAAAAAAGATACCTAGTGTAAGTAGGAAATGCCCCGGGTAACCTACAGAACTATTGCACACCCTAAGCTGTCATGCAAATGTATACATAAAGGGCGCAAAAAGCTAAATAATTAAAAAGCTGAATTTAGACAACAAGTTTAGTAAAGGAGAATTTTCTGGATTTCTAGCTAACAAAAATGAGGAATTAACATGCTCAAATGTTACAACATTTTACAGTAAATCAGCCCACGTCACATTATATATGCAAATAGAGTACAATAAATGCTGACAACTGATAGTAGTGATGCGTTTAAAGCTTTAAAGCCTCATCTAATGCCACAAAAGTGCTTGTTTTAACGAGGTGTTTGCATATACCCCTGGTCGTAGCGCTCATCTGAGATCTGAAGGACAGTTGCCGCGAAGTCCTCCATTAAGTTCTGTTAATTAAGAAAACTTGGCATGCATTCAAAAGATTCTTTATTACCGAAAAGGACAGTGAACAAACCTAGTCCTATGGAGTAACACACTAATATTAGCCTTTGAAGACATAAAGGTGGAAAGGTCTACGCCTAATTTGTATAAAAATACTACGCGGTAACAACAAAGCAGAAATGGAAACAGAGGTGGGCTAGCTACGTTCTTAAAGCCAGGTACAATATCTGAGAGGCATCTATGTGAACACTTTAATTAAAACATGAATTCACTTTTGCAATCTACACAAGTCCTACAATCAAGAACCGTTGCACCGTATTTGTAAAAAAAGTGGCTAATGGACACACTGAGTAACGCATAGGAGTACCGTGCCACTCATATACCATACATTACAATAGCTGAGGACGAACCTGTTCCATGAAGGATTTGAACGAATCCGTAAGTGGCGGCAACTTCTTCTCAATCCATCGTGGTGCCTCTCGATCTTTCACCGGATCCTAAATAAAATGTGGTGATAATATGCATCTTTGACCCCTAAAAACACTAAAGCAGAGTGACTCCACCAAATCTTTTCCGCCATTTTAAAGCTGAGCATGAGTAACCCCACTCATTAAAGCACTTTGTTGTAAGCACAAACCTTGATAGCAAGTCTTATGAAAAGTGCAGAATAACCAGGGTGAGTCGTTTTACGGTACACCTATCAAGTGCTTACACAGCCCACTCTAATAGTTGCTAAATTTGTCACATTGCCTAAAAAGCCTGACATTTATGTGTTACTGAACCATATGAAAGCAACAGCAAGAGTAATAGTAAGGAGAAATGACTTGGCCTACTTTTGCAGCGACTCTATAATAAGGAATGGGCTCCGTTTTCAACTCCTCTTTGATGAGTTTAGCACACTGCCGAGCAATGAAGTCCCCAGCCAAGGGAGTACGGACAACTCCTTGAAGAAGAACTCGACCATCATAAACTGGTACTGCTGAGGCACACGAAGCTCCACAGTCTAATACCAGGCCAGTGTGCCGACCATTTGCAAAGCATGCTAGAGCCGCACTTTTAGCTAGGTAAAATGCAGGAACCTAAAGTAGGAAAATGGAAAACACGGTACCTCAAATTTTTCAAACAAAATTTCCGTCAACTTTTCTCTCTTTAATTTCGGATTCCAAGACGGCTCAGATAGGAGGATAGGGTGTTGGGACTTTTCAACCGGGATTAGGAAGTTAATAATGTGAGACACAACGTCTTCAAAAACGTCCCAATCCTCGACTAGAATGCATAGATATGTGACACCAAAACCTACTTAGACCCTCCTTTACAAAAGACGTAATTTCCATCCTTTCGTGGGGCACATAAATATTAGTTCCAATGATGCGCTTTGTCACCGATGAGTCACCCTTTGGAGAAATGCAGCCAACATAGCTTGGCATATCGATCTATTGGGTCCTAATTGGATTTGAATTAATATTTATCCACCTTAGGCGTATCCTCTCCAGCAAATCCACCGCGCAAAGTATGCGAACCAAGATCAAGAACTATCGCTCCAACTTCGTCTGAATGTGAACAAATAGGGCTGTTTACAAAAAAAAACCAAAATCAAACCACTCATGGTCCCAAAAAGCTCAACTGGAGCGCGCAACTAGATGTTGACACAAACAAACTGTGCCAGGAACTTAACTTACAAGATTGCACTATTAGTTTCTTAAGCTGACCTCTTATTATTTGTAGTAAAAAACCTTATTAACTGCACAAATAATACAAGCGGATATTTGCGAGAACATTTCGATGCAAAATTATTACGACATATGATATTTGACACTAAGTACTCAATAGATCAAATACTTTTGATTATATCTGTATTCACGGAAGTGCTACTTTGTTCTTTTATTAAAGGTATACTAGACAAACTGCCACAAATCAATTCTTAAGGCGATTCTACCCCAGAGTTATTGCATTACGAGCTCCATTCATACCACTTTAAACCAGTCGCATGATTATTATCACCAGACCAAACTGCTAACTTTATGCTCCCATTGACTAAACTAATACTTGCTTAAGCCCCACATTTTAGCAGGTGTGACTTCATATATCAGCGATTTTCCCATTTCCTTTCCTCAGTCTTAGAAGGCTAAAGTAGTTCGGATAAGCATTAACACCCTCCAAAGGCCATGCAGTCCAGGGAGACGAAGGTACTCCATGCCTAAACATGCAGCTAAACGATATATCCACCACCTACACCAGAAGACATGCTTAATGGGGCTGGAGGACTAAAATATCCCTCCTTTGATAAACTCATGCTGAA